ACCCCAATTGCCTTAAAACAAAACAAAACAAAGAAAAGACAGGCAGGAACTTTGAAATGCATTTTGGGAATGTTAGGGATTATAATCATTATCTGCCTTCTTGCCTACTCCTTCCCAAAATTTGAAGGTCCCCAATCCTTTCTTCCCTTGAATGTGTTCTCTGTACCCTCCTGCTGGAGAAACCCTATCAGCAAAGACTCGGAGAAAATCATTCAAACTAAGAGGTAAAGGACTTATGACATCTTTAACGTGTGACCCCTCTGAGGGGAAAATGCATTATAACAGGGGACAAGAGGACCAAAGAATGAATGTCTATCAATGCAACGAGAATGTAGGATGGATGAGGAATTGAGGGGCTGTGGGGAAGATCTTGGCTGCCCTGAAATCACATCTGAGGCTGACCTTGTAGATGGAGTAGAAAGGGGAAGATGTTGCAGCTTCCTCATCCTTGCAAGAAGCTTGTCTCGCCCCCCTCCAACCAAACCCCACTATTCTTTTTTTTTTAGGCAATTGTGGTTAAGTGACTTGCCCAGGGTCACACAGCTAGTAAGTGCCAAGTGTTGGGTCTGAGGTCGGACTTGAACTCAGGTCCTCCTGACTTCAGGGCCAGTGCCCTATCCACTGCGCCACCTACCTGCCACCTACCTGCCCCCCTCCCATTATTCTTGCCTGGCTTGCACAGAGTAACAACCGAAGGGCAAGGTAATGGAATAAGGTAGGGGGCTAAGAGCTCAGGAAGCTCTGTCAGTAAAAATCAGTCCTTGCACACAATAGAATCATTTTGGGGAAAGAGACTGGAGACCATCTGAGACTTGGGAACCACAGCTGAGTTAAGCAGAGATAAGACCTTAGGTTTCTTTTCTCTTACCAGCCCAAATTAGACATCACCTATGGTTCTCATGCCTCAGGGACAGGCCGATCCACTCATCTGTCAGGAGCCAAAGACCATTTGCTAGCCTAGCCAGACAGGACTGGGCCCATTTTCCATTTCCCATCCCTCAGTACAAGACTGAAGCTGTCATAAGGCAGGCTCAATGTACTTTGAGCACCGACTCTTCCCACTATCCCCATAGGGGAAGCCAGAAGGCAGTCACCCCTACCCTCAATCTTCCCACTCCTCCCCCACTTTCTCTTTCCTTCCATTCTCAGGCTCAGATATCAAGACCTGTTGCAAGAAGAACTTCTGAAAGCTTCTCTCTCCCACTCATTTCTCCATTCCAACCAAGTCTAGCTTTAAAGGTCTTCCCAGAACTTAGCACAGAAAGGGCCTGGAGTGGGGAGGAGAGACTGGATTTGAAGGGGGAAGGGTCTAGGTTGGCCCTTGGAGGAGGGATGGGAATGGAGGGAACCCCTGACCTGTAAGTCTAGGTATTTTCTGTGGTCCTCTCTAATACCTCTCATAAAGAACCTTAATCTGGATTCTTCATTTTCCTCTCTTTCCTCTCTCAAGCCCCACCCCCTACACCAGCTGGGCAGGACAAGGAGTGAGGTCTCCTGCTGGTCTGCAGATGTGTCCATGGGCAGTTCCATGGGCGGAAGTTAGCAGGAAACAGCTGAGGGGCTGGTCCAGAGGAAAAAAAAACCCATCCACTTCCTGACAATCCAACGTTGATGCCCGAGGCCCAGCTTGGGGGAGGTAAGCCCCCTTCTCTCTTCCCCTAGGCTTCTGATACATCTCTTCCAGGCCTACCTAGGGATCATTTGAGATTGCATCCCAGCCCCTCTCTGTCTCCCTGGCTGCTCTTAGGCCTGCTTATCTTTGAGAGAAGGGAAAGGGGAAACAGGAGACATCACTTACGTGCCCAGGACATCCCGGAATTCATAAATGTCCCGAATGTCATCTGTATGCTTCTTCCAGCTGGGTCCATCCACTTCCCGAGGCATTGCCCACTGCCCACTGGCTGCAGCCAGGGCTCCTGGGGGGTGGGACAGCTTGGGCTCAGCAGGAGCATGGCCTCTCCAGGACCCCACTTCTGCTTTCTCTTTCCCAATTCTAAACCAACCTCCTTCCCAATCCTTTCACCTCTTCATCCCTTGAATAACAGGGATTCATTTCTTCCTGTAAAAAACAGGTGCCCAGATCAGAGCTCCTAATGTCACTCACACACAGACACAGACACAGACACAGGCACAGACACACACACAACACACACACACACACACACACACACACAAACACACACCGCTCCATAATCCATAATGTGATGATGGAAACACTCCAAAGGGGCCTGAGAAATAAGTGAAATTCCCCTGGGGTGGGAGGGTCCTTGATCACAACAGTGATCCCCTGGGGGTATGTCCAGGGTATCCCCTCCTCCCCCTCTCTTAGAAAACAGGTTCCCTGCTCTCTCTCTGCCTCCAGCAATATTCTCAGCCACATTTTTAAATAGCTCCATTTGCTCTGTTGCCATGACAACAGCAGCCACCTCTGGAACAGCTGGTACTCCCTCATCCTCCCACCTCTCTTCTGACCGTCATCCCCCACTCCTGCCTCACCCATGGCAGATGCCTGGACCTCTGGGCCTTGTCCCCAACCCCTGCTCTTAGATTCTGGCCTAGAAGAGCCCCCAGCCCTCCTTGATCTCCACCCCCACCCCCTCCCTGATACACAGCTTCCAGATCAAACTGGCATGAGATTTGAGGCTCCAGGGTCCTCTTGCACCAGCCAGGCTAGGCTCCTGCACTTAATCCTTGATCCAGTGCCCTGCCCTCCCTTCCCCAGCAAGGGGCAGACAATCTCTATCTCCATCAGCTTCCATCCAACCAACTCAAATTCATCCTGAGCCCCCCAATGCCCATGCCAAATCTAGAAGTTCTCCTAAGAAAGACCCAGAGAGGATGGAAAATGAGCAGTAATTCCAGTTCTCAGACCTTGCGTTACATAAGAGTTTAATTCAACGTTTCCCCAGGAGGTTCAAGAGTTAGTCTCAGTTCTGCACCCTAAGCCAGAAGGGGACTGACCTGAGGAGAAAATATAAGATGGAAGGGTGATACCCCATGATAATCTGAGCTAGAGGGACGCAGCAACAAGAGCTCTGCACCTCAGCTTTCTCACCTGTAAAGGGAAGGGGTTGGACTAAATGATTGCTAGGGTGCCTTTTCTCTTTTCCATTCTCTGAATCTATGGGAATCAGGAGACCTGTCTTCTAGCACCGGCTTCACCACTAATGAGCTGTATGTTCTTGGGTCCATGACTTTCCCTCACTAGACCTCAGTTTCCTCATTAAGAAAAGGAAGATGGGCTGCATGATCTGTAAAGTCAAAGACCAGAACTTACAAATGTCCCAGAATGAACACTGTGATTCTAAAGGGGATGGACACCCAGGGATCCAGATGTGTAAAGGGCGTCACTTCCCTGACTCTGGTCCCATGCTCAGCCCCTCTGGCCACAGCCTGATTCCCTCAGGGATGAGGCAGGCTCCATAGTGCAGACCAGGTCAGAACCTAAGTTTGAGTGGCACTATCAGGCTCACCATTGCCCAGGGAAGCCCCCATGTTCAAGTATCAGGAGCCATAGGACAGGAACAAAAGCGAGGTCCTTCCTGAAGGCAAAGCATTATCCATGCCTCCATCACAACCTCCCACTGCTACCCCTCTGTATGGCCAACTTTTCAATAGACTCCTTAAAGCCCAGAACACCTCTAAGCCAAAGAGAGGCCAGCCCCAATAGAAGTTCTGGCAGTAAAGAAGTCCCTTTCCTTTGCCATGCGTAGTCCTCCTCCCCACCCCAGGCTCCAGAGCCAGAAAGGGGAAGATGAAATTTATTTGTCTCTATGAAAACCCCTAGTACACAGAGATCCTCCACCACAGGACAGAGCCACAAATCTAGGCACATGCCCTAACCCATCAACACCTGCATGAGCAGATACACCCCCAAATCTAGCTATGCCGTTATACTCACACACACACACACACACACACACACACACACACACACACACACACACACCCCTTCAAAACAAGAGAGGTACATCCCTTTACTCTAACACCCACATACTCTTCCACTGGGACACACCCTAATACTCCTATGAAAGGCAGGGAGGGGTTGCACTATATGATAGATAGCTCCTCTCATCCATCTGGACACCCTATGATCCTTCTGTAACCAACCTAAACACACACACGTTCAATAATCATATACCTTTCCTTGCAAACATACCATTAATATATACAATCTGACACACTGAAGCTTATCCATCCCTTAGGTCTTACACACAGTACAAACACAGAGCGACATATGTTTGTGCAAAATGCTGACTCTTGTCTAGGGAAGGGGAGCAGCTGCCCCAGGCCCAGAGATCAGCACACCCATCCAAGGAAGGACCAGCTACCTCCCATGGCCTTACCAGAGAGCAGACTGACCCTGTGGGTTTGAATCCAGGGGAAGAAGTGTGCCGAGGCTGGCTCACTTAACGCCTACGTCACCCCTGCCCCATTTCAGTTTCTTTATCATTCACTAAAACATATCCCAGCCACTCTTTCATCAGAGATTCAGACTAGGTCTCTGGGGATCTCCTGGGAAAGGCTGAGGAACTACAATGCTCCCACCTTCAGCCTAGAGACACACCCTACCTGCCCCCCCCACCTCTGCTGGGACAAAGACCCGGACCTTTGTTTGGAAGGGAAGGCTTAGGGACAAGGCCGATAGCTGACAAGGGGCAAAGTTCCACACAGGTGGCCCTAGATAGAACAGGTGTATGTGCTTGGGAGCCCCTGAAGTCGGGGTGGAGAGAGGGACAGCTGTGGAGGAAGGAGGGTGTCACCTGCAAGGAGACTTCCCCGATCCCTCAGTCAAGGGCTTAGAGCTTAATTCTCCTTTCTACTGCATAGCCCCTTCCTCAGCAACCCAGGGATTGGGCTGGGCTCAGGGGACAGGAGGCAAGATGAGGGTCGATTACCCCTAGGAGCCCCAGGGGAGGAGCCAGGTAAGGCCAGAGCGCAGGCTCCCTCAGACCTCGCCCCGGGCTGGCGGTACCCAGGCAGACTCTCTCCCGCTTACCTGAGGCTGCCCAACAATGGTGAGAGGGTGGGAGGTGGGGGGGTGGCTCCTTGGGTCGCTCGGGCCCCCACCCCCACCGCCTCCCGAGGCCGCCGCTGGCCCTGGCCCCGATCTCCGAGCCGCGCTGCTCCCGCCTGCCCTCCTTCGCGCTCACTCCACGCTCCTTGCAGCCGCCTCCTCCTCCTCCTCGTCTTCACTCCGGTCCCCTGTGCTCACAATCAACGGCAGTGGTGGCTTCTCCTCCGCCTCCGTCGGCGGGCCGGACGCTCGGCGGGTTTGCTCTGATGTCAACCGGGCGGAGGAGGAGTTTGTGCGGCCGCAGGAGGGGAGAGGAGAGGAGGGAGGAGAGAGTGAGAGAAGAGAGGAGAGGGGAGGGCAGAGGCGGGGCGCGGAGGAACCCCTACAGAGCCTTAAGCGGGGAGTGGGTACAGGAGGGATGCGCAGCGAGAGCCGAAGACCTCTAAAGATGAAAGGCGAATAGACTGGGGGCGAAAGAGAGGGGCGGCTGCCTCTCCAAATCGTGGACCGGGCAGCTCTGCTTGCAGTTGGAGCTCCTGAAGCTCAGACAAAGGGGAAGAGACTTGTCCAAGGTCGCACAGGTGGTGAGTGGCAGAATGCCTCTTCAAACTCGAACTCCGGCTCCAAATCCACTGCGCCATGCCGTCTGCTGTAGCCAGTTATCTTTTCCTGATTATTGGTGTTGCCATGTGATGGATGTTGATGCCAAGGGTTTCGTGGATTAGGCCAGGTTGGGCGGGGGAAGAAAGGCACCAAGTCTCAAGCTTTCCACAGAAAGGAGTGAAGAGAGGTGCAGCCTTTGAGGGCAAAAGACAGGGGCTCAAGGCCTGCCTCTGACACAGCCCAACTGGGTGATCAGTAGCAAGCCACTTAACCTGCCAATGACCTGGGGCCATATCCCGAACTTCTTCAGACTTTCATAGTGTCAATTGCAGAGCAGGACACAATAGCAGATGCGTATTTATTGGCACACTGGTGCGCAGATTTAGAGTTGGAAGAGACTTAGATCTATTTTTGTTCTGTCGTTTTTACAATTGTGTCCTACTCTTCATGACCCCATTTGGGGTTTTCTTGGCAAAGATACTGGGGTGGTTTGCCATTTCCTTTTCCAGCTTATTTTACAGATGAAGAAACTGAGGCAAACAGGGTTAAATGACTTGCCCTGGGTCACACAGCTAGTAAGGATCTGGGGCCAGATTTGAGCTCACGAAGATAAATCTTCCTGACTCCAGGAAAGGCACTCTATCCGCTTCAACACCCAGCTTCCCCTAACCTCTCTCCTGACCCCCAGTCAAACAGCTCTACCTCCCCATCGTACATCTCAAGCTGAATGTCCCATAGACATCTTAAACTCAGCATATCCAAAATTGAACTCATCTTTCCCCCCAAACCCTCCATTCTTTCAATCGCCCCGGCTAGCCCCCTTGGAGTCATCCTCACCTTCTCCCTCTTACTCATCCCATCTATCTAGTCCAAGGGTGGGGAACAAATCCCCTTAATAAAAGGATTTATTCTGTGAAACGTGGACTCAGTCAACAGGCCGCACTCGAGGACTTGGAAGGCCATATGTGGCCCTCTAGGTCCTCAAGTCTGAATCCAAACTTCACAGAACAAATCCCCTTAATAAAAGGATTTATTTTGTAAAACGTGGACTCAGTCAACAGGCTGCACTCGAGGACTTGGAAGGCCATATGTGGCCTCCAGGCTACCGGTTCCCCGCCCCTGATCTAGTCTGTTGCCATGTCTTGTTTCTGTCTTTGCAATATCTTTCCTATACATCCCGTTCCCCTGGTTCAGGTCCTCCTCAACTCACTTCCTGGACTATCACAAAAGCCTTGGCCTCCCTGCCTCATCTCTCCCCACTCCAAGTCCATCCTTTAAACAACCTTACAAAGTGATCTTTCTAAAACTCGGATCTGACCATACCAGTAAACTGAGAAAACTCCAATAGCTTCTTGCTACCTCCCAGGATCAAACATAAAATCCTCTGGCTTTTAAAGTCCTTCACAACCTGGCCTCTTCCAACCTTGCCAGGCTTTTCACACCTTACTCCCCTCCCCATACTCTGTGATCTAGTGACACTGGTTTCTATGCACTGGTCACACCTCTAACATAATGCCCCGACTCCCAATTTGTGCCTTTTCCCTGTCTGTCTGCTGTCCCTGGAATGATCTCCTTTCTCTTCTCTGCCCCCTGGCTTCCTTCAAGTTCCAGCTAAAATCCTGCCTTTTACCAAAGGCCTTCCTTGGTTCCTCCTCAATTCTAGTACCTTCCCCCTGAAATTACCTCTAATTTACCCTGCATATATTTTGTGTCTACATAGTTGTTTGCATGTTGTTTCCTCATTAGAATGGAAGCTTCTTGAGGGAGGGACTGTTGTTGCCTTTGTTTCCCCATCACTTAACACAGTACCTGGCACAAAGTTGGCACTTAATAAATACTAGTTGATTTGACTTGTTGACTAATTGGCTGACCAAGTGAATAAAGAAAAAGGAAGTTGGGGTTCAGTGAAGGAGTTTATAGAAGCACCAAGTAGGAATGATAAGCTATTTAGGTGAGCTGTTCTCTAGGCTTATTCCAGTCTCAAGCTATCATTAACTATCTGTGTCATATGTTTCATGAATAGTAAAAGGTTGAGTGGTCCAGGAAGATCATGGCAGGCAGGGAGAAGCTGATCCGTTTCTAAAGGACTCTGGGGTGGGGAAGGAAGAGCTGTGAAATCCTCTGATTCTTTCCCTTCCCTTCCCTTCTCTTACCTTCCCTTCCCTTCCTTTCCCTTCCCTAGTCAGCAAGTGTCCTTCAGGACTGGGTCCCTGTGAGTATGAAGCAGAGGATGGGTAGAGGTGGTTCAGGAAAGGGCTACAGGAGGGGCAGGGCATGTGGGAGAAAGGACCTGGAGTTTGTTGGAATCAGGTGAAAGAGAACAGCAGGTCACCATGTGATAGGTGTCCAAGCCAAGGGTTTCATGGATTGTAGCCACATTAGGCAGGAGTGGGTGAGGGGCACCAAACCTTCAGCTTATTTGGTTCCTCCCTGCCAAAGAACAGAGCATTCCCGAGATTATGAGAGAAACAGGCCAGAAGCCAGAGAAACAAGACTGAAGCAAGGTTATCCATTTAGTGTCTCAGGAAGAAAACTGAGGAGATAGCAGGGGTAGGGAAGGGAGGAGGTTGCTTGGAAGGACTGAAAGACTTAGCCTTTAGAAAAATTAAGTTTTCTTCCTTTGCAACCCTACCTATATCTTGTCTGCCTGCCTTTCCTAATTCTTCCTCCTCTTTGCTGGGGGAGATTTATCAAACATTTATTGAGTGCCTACTTTGTGCAATGCATCCTACTGTGGGGAGTTGGTGGGGGGGCACGTTAAGGATGGAGAATGCATGCTGGATCCTCGGAATGTGGCACCCTCCAGTGGCCAGGGTCTTATCTCACAACCTATGAAGACATAGGACCCTTTCACCCTCAATTTTTCAGGAACAGGTTCCCTATCCCTGGAAGAGCTATATGAACTGGGTGTTCCTTTCATTGGCTTGAGACCAGAGCACTACAGGTGGGTTCAAGAGGACTGGAAGTCTCAAATCCCTTGGGACCTTAAAAACACTGTAAGCCCAATCTGAACTTTTCTGGAGCAAAGTCCCAGACACTGGGAAGAACAGATAAAGAATTCTAATGAGATGGAAAAAGCTAAGACTCGTAGAGAAAAGAAAAATATAGCTTACATATGTCTTCTGTGGTTTATGATTTACAAATAGCTTTTCTCCTCATAGCAGCCCTGTGAGGTAGGTAATATAAGAATTTTACAAAGAAAAGAAAGTGATGTACAGAACTATAGGTTTTAGAGCAAGAAGAGACCTTACAAATCTTTGTTCAATTCTCTCATTTCACTGATTAGGAAACTGAGCCCCCGAAAAGGGAAATGATTTATTTGCCCAAGGTCACACAGAAAGTAGAACAGCAGAGCTTAAATTCAAATCTCTCTTTAACGTCTAATCTAGTGCTTGGTTTCTGGTTTCCACTCCTTGCCTTACACAGCTAGTAGGACTTGGATCCTGGTCTTCTGACCTTAAGTTGGGGTCCCAAATTTAGTCCTTCCACTACCTGATTACACAAGGTAAGACCTCCTCCCTATGCTTGGAGTACTGTCCTCCTCACCTCTACCTCTTGGAATTCCGAGCTTCCTTTAAGATGCCTTCTCTGATTATCAGTCGTTTCCCCACCCCATAAAACTTTTTAAATTTTGCTTTGATAGGACTGTGAACATAGTTTTTTACCAGCAAAATTTAAACTCTTTGAGGGGCAAGACCTGTTTTGCTTTTGTCTTTGTATTTCTAGCACCTAGGCAAGCATAATGCCTGACATATAATAAATGCTTTATAAATGTTGGCTGAATTGAAAACAAGCTAATAGGCCAAAAGGGCAAAAAAAAAATTGTCTTCCTGAATCAAGCCCAAAGTTCACCTACCCCCACCTTAAGAGGGGGCCCAGGAAATTTCACCCCTTCTAATTTTTCTTGTACTGCCTGGGAGTTAAGGGTGTTAGTCTGAGACAAAGTTCTCTACAGAGATATTGGTATCAGAGAAATAGCCCACCACTTAGTGTTATTCTTTCAATGATTCTATAGTTTATATGGCCTTTCTGCTAGTTTGTTTTAATCATAAAACTCCAAAGTTTGTTTTTAAAGTAAAGCTTTATTTTCCCTAAAGATTCTGAAGGGTTTATCCCACACATAGGAAGGAATGACATCATTTCAGGAATTTACTTGGGAACCTTATATGTTATTAATTTGATAAGACATCTTAAGGTCCCTTCATGTTCAAAACTTGCCCAGATTTCTCTATCTCAGTTGAAAGATCAGAGCCACCAAGTCCTACAATGTCTGAAGATGACATTTGTAACCATCATTTGCATAATGAGAAATAGGAGTTTGGATGGAGTAAAGGGGACTCAGCCCTCCCAACCAGTGAAATCCAGTTGTCATCGTGTCCTACTAAAAATTAAAACAAACTAAAAACATCCCCCACAGAAACAAATAGTTTAACTACTATTCATAAACCTTCAAGGTAGTTTATACTAGGAGAATTATTACATTAACTTTTTATGGGTTGGATGAAATTAAGTAAAGTTCCCCACCAATGACTTTTACTTAATTTGATCTAGCCCAATAAAAGTCAAGTTTTCCACCCCTGACATTTTCTGGTTTCTTCACTGGTGTCTACAAATATATCCAGTCTCTCCTCTCCTTAAAAACAACAAAACCCCCTTACTTGAACCTACTATTACTTCAAGTTAACACCTTCTATCTCCTGCCTTTGATAGTCATGGGATAGGGACTAGCCCTGTGCTTTCTCTTCCTTTCCAGCAGCTTCTCAGTCTTCTTTCCTGGACTACCATTCACTTCCCCTTAACTGCAGATGTACCTTTCTAGGGGTGGGGATTCCGTGAACACTTGAGCACCCAGAGGGCCATGTGTGGCCTTGAGGCCGAAGGTTCATCACCCCTGCTTAGGCTCTCTGAGTTGGGTACTCTTCTCTCTTGATGACCTTATCAGTTCCTATGGGTTCTAGCCAGCTAGCTTGACATGATTTAGTCATTTCAGTCATGTCTGACTCTTTGTGACCCCACTTGAAGTTTTCTTGGCAAAGATACTGGAGTGGTTTGCCATTTCCTTCTCCAGCTCATTTTATAAATAAGGAAACTGAGTCAAACAGTTTGTCTGTTGACTTGTCCAAGGTCACACAGCTAGTGTCTGAGGCCAGATTTGAACTCAGGAAGAGGAGTCTAACTCCAGGCCTTGTGCTCTATCCATTGCACCACCTAGCTGCCCCATATCTTGACATATCTATAGATAAATCTGGGAGTCATCTGCACAGAGATGAAAACTAATATAGCCCTAGTCTCTTTCCTAAGCTCCAGTGTCATGTCATTAATAGTCTACAGGCCATTTTGAATTGGAAATTCTATAGGCAAGTCAAGCTGAGCATGTCCAAACCCACCTGTCTTCCCACGTCCCCTAAAACAGGTCTGAACACTAGAATCGTCTGGAGCTCCTCACTCTCACCTCTCACATCCAATCAGTTGCCAGGGGTTGGTAATTCTACCTCCACATGTCATATCTGACCTCTTCTCACATGGTTACCACTCTAGTTTCTGCCCCATCACTTTGTTTGGACTATTGCAATAGCCTCCCAATTGGTTTTCCTGATTCACCTCTCTAGCTTCCCAAAGTTGCCAGCCACTATTCCTAAACAAGTATGACTCATCCCATCCCTCCCCTGCTTGAGAAGTTTCAGTGACTCCTTCTTCCCTCTAGGTTCCATTTCGAATTCCTCTTTTTCCCCAGAGGTGGGGAACCTTTGGCCCTTAGTAAAAGCATTTGTTCTATAAAACTTGGACTCGGTCAAAAGGCTGCACCTAAGGACCTACAAGGCCCCATGTGATCTTGTGACTGCAGGTTCCCCACTCCTGCCCTTTACAATCTGGCTGCAGCCTACTTTTGTAGACATTATACATTGCTCCTTTTCAGAGATTCTAAGCCTAAACTGGTAGACTGGCTGTCTCTCCCACACCACACACCATCTCTGGCCTCTATATCAGATGGGCAGTACTCCCCATCTGGAGTGAACTCCTTTTTCACTCTCAACTCTTAGAATTCCTAGTTCTCTTCAGCCCTCAGCTAAAGGGGCACCTCCTACATTAATCCTTTCCTGACTTCCCAAGATGCTGAATTTCCTTTGGATGTATTTGGTATCTACTTATAAAAGTCCATACTGTCCATCCCTTCTCCCCATGTAGGATGTAACCTCCTTGAGGGCAGGGGTTGTCTTGGTTTTATCTTTACACCCCCCAGTGCCCGACACATAGTAGTCATTCACCAAACATTTGTTTTGTTTGTTTTTGCTTTTTGGTGAGGCAATCGCGGCTAAGTGACTTACCCAGGGTCACACAGCAAGTAAGTGTCAAAACGGAGGCCACATTTGAACTCAGGTCCTCCTGACTCCAAGGCTGGAGCTCTATCCACTTTGTGGATAGATGTGCCAAAGATTGTGCTAAGTGCTGGGGACATACACAAAGGCAAAAGACAGTCCTCGCTCTTAAGGGGCTTATTCCAATGGAGGGCATTAGTTACATGGCTAAAGAGGTTCATAAACACAATACAGATTAACTATGATTGCATGAAATGCAGCTATATCCTAGAGGCAGCTAGGTGGTACAGAAGGTAGCTCACTGGGCCCAGAGTCGGGAAGACCCAAATTCAAATGTAGCTGGGCAAGTCACTTAGTCACTGTCTACCTCAGTTTCCTCAACTGTAAAAAGAGGATGATACACTAGCAACTAACTTCCAGGGTTGTCGTGAGGACCAAATGAGATCATTGTAAAGCATAGCACCTGGCACACAATAGGCACTTAGTAAACATTCGTTCCCTTCTTCACCCCCACCACCCACTGTGAATTCTGGGTCCAAGCCTCAAGCACTTTTCAATTTTTCAGGCTTTCTTCCACTTCACAAGCTACATCTCTCATGACAGCGTTGGACTAGATGTATCTGAGGTTCCTTCTACCTTTTAAACCTATGATCCTATAACCTCTTACCATTCCCCCCCCCACTTTTTTTGGTGAGTCAATTGGGGTTAAGTGACTTGCCCAGGGTCACACAGGTAGTAACTTATTACCATTTTTGTTGAAGTTCCAAAGTGTGCCACAGCCCCCACAATTTTTATTGCTAAAATAACTTTCTTGCTGCCCAGTGGCGTCATTGATTAGAGTGACCCACCTGGGCAGCAAGAAAGTTATTTTAACATTTTCTCGGTTTCGTTGTTTTCTCTGAACATTGCTATATCCAAAATGCATTTATAATTCTCCATGACCCCACTGAGAGATGAATTTCCTAATAAATGATTTTTGGGGATGGGGGTGAGGAAAGGATGAAGAAAGAATTTAGTGTAGGGGTTAATTATGGGTACAGAAAACCTTACGACAAAGGAAGCTGCCGGTGCTCGCCCTGAATCCTTTTAAATTGTGTATTTGCCTGGGCTCAAGCACAAGTCACTCATTCCCTTTGCCCATGGGTTCATTCCTGCCTTGTGTCTCCACAGGTCAAGACACTGACTTTTGGGAAGCCCATGATTTTCTGCTGTTAGCAAGGGTCAGCAAGGGCTGTGTGTATTAAGCCATCCTTTGTGCCCTCCGGTCCTTACAATGGGGAACTGGAAGGACCCCAAGTGTTAGGACAGTAATAACAGCTGACATTTCTACGGTGCTCTAATGTTTACAAAGCACCTTCCTAATGAGAACCCTGTGAGCCCCTTCTTACCTAGCCCTCCCCAAAGAATAAACAGGCTGTATTCCCAAAGTTAATTTGTTAGCTAGTTTGGAACTTGGAGTTTCCCCCTAGAAACAATATTATGTGTTTATATTTCCAAGGAAGTTCAGAAAAGTCTATTTAAATAGAAAAACAGCCATGCTACATGAGCTTCCCACTGTTTCTTTGAGAAAATACCTTCTAAATTCTGACTGGGAAACTGGGGAACACCCCAACCCCTCCTCGCACTACCTTGCCAACGAAGGAACAATCTTATTTCTTTCCCATGGCGTTTAGGGGACTTCCATTTTCCCCTTCTCTGACCTCCTTCTCCCCTCATCCCCCCCCCCCATCCCCTACTGTGACCCCAGAGAGGGATTTCTGGCAAAGGTAGCTCTTCAAGCACGAAGGATTCCTCCTTCTGGGAGGGCTCGACCTCTCCTGGACCATCTGCATCGGTAAGCTCTTGCTCCTGCCACCCCCCTTTGCTTGGAGGGTCCTCCCCTTCATTCTCTTCGACCAGGTTCATTTCAGTTCCACTTTTCTCCTCAGATCACCCCAGCACTTCTAGGCTACATCCACTGAGTACCTGATTATATTCTGCCCTGTATCATTCTCTAATTCTTCACAGTTAAGTCTTATCTCCCCAAGAAAATGGAGAGTTCCTTAGGGCTGAGAACCATGATTTCTGCTTCCTTTGTATCCCCCACAGCACCTAACACATTTCTAGGCACCCAGCAGATGCCTGCATCAGGAAGGCTCTGGGTCCTGATGACGGCAGGGTCTTCGTGCTGTCCTTTTATTTCCCCTTTCAGTCTCAGAGTGACAGATGACTCCCATCTCAGCCCTTCCCTCCCATTCTGCCTCCTTCTCTCCACTCCAAGAGATGACACTGGGACTTGCGTTATGTTCTTAAAAACCAGAGTAGGGTGTTTACTCTAAAGTTCACACCTCAGAAAAACAGGTCAAAAGTCCTTGGAAGAAAAGAGAGGGAAGAAGGGACAAGAGCCAGGCCCAGGGTAGAAGGGAGTCCTATCCCAAGACCCCGATCTCTCACCAGAAGCCAAGCACAGCCTGGGGCCAGCTCTGGTCCGCTGACCCCTCCTGCTCCTTGGCTGCACACTGTCTAAAACGTCCAGTGAAGAGAGGCAGCAAAGAGCCAGCAGCTCCCACCCATTCTGCCAGAGGAAGGGACCAGGGTCTTCCCATTCTTCTAAGCATTAAGGTTTGGGAGAAAGAGAAGAACAGAAAGGCAGGGCAGGAGCCGAGAGGCCCAGCCTGGCTATCCATCCAGAAGTTTAAGGATGCTCTCCCGCTCCTTCAGTGTCTTCCAGGCCTGGTCTTTTTCCTTCTTGGTGGGAGTCCTCTTCTTTTGCCGGGCAGCCATAATCTTCCGGAAGGCATCCATGACCTCATTGTCTGCCATGCGTACCCGCTGCCTCAGCTCCTGACGATTTACTTCTTCTTTGGCCAACCTAAAAAGACCACCACACTTGTTCAGTCCCAACTAGCTTGGAGAGTATCTCTGACTCTTCTGCTCCTTCAAAATCCAAACCAAACTGCATCTTCTAAAAAACCTTCCTAGTATGGACCAAATCAGTTTACTACTTTGGTCCTCACCCAACATAGCTGAGCTCTCCAGGTCCCATTCCACTCAAAAAACAAAAAAGAAGTTCTCATCAAATGCCTAATTTCAAAATACCACAAATCCAAAACACCCCAAGATTCTGGCCAGAACTTTGGGCTTCATCATGAAGCAGTCATGGAGACAGTCCAGTGAAACCTATGGATTGCTTCTCAGAACAATGTTTTTAAAAGCATAAAATACAATACAAAGGATTACCAAGGAAATCAATTATCTTTAAAGTTAGCAAACATTAAAATAAACATTAAGTTCACAGACCATAGGTTAAGAACAGCTACTTCAAAGGGACTTGAAAGCTGTACATTATATGTTCTTGTCTTCATGTTACTGTGATTTACCTTTTGTTATCTCATTTTCCTTGCTTTCTTGCTTAGACCATGAATACCCTGAGAGGAGAGAACGTCTTTTTTTTCAGTCAAGCAAATCTTTGCATGTGTACTACGTGAACGGCCCCTCTGCTAAGTGTCATAGGGGATACCAAAGGAGGATAAGACCCAGTCTCTCCTCTCAAGAAATTTCCAGCCTGGTCATTTTTCTTCTAATGGACTATTAAAGGGCACCCATTGTTTCCTAGGAGCCTGGAATTCTGACCTAGACTCTGATACTAATTAGCCACAGGACGTTAGTCAAGTCAGTCCTCTTTGGACCTCAGTTTCCTCCTATGAAAAATGAGGGGCATGAGATACATAGAGGGAAGTGAGGGGAGATCAGAAGGTAGTGTATCCCTTTTTTGTTTGTTTCTACCTGATTAATCTCATATGTTTTTTGTAAATTACACACAGCAGGAGTTCATAGTTTCTTGCTCAATTCTCTTCCCTGTTCTTCTATGTCTTGAAATGTTTGCGATTATGATCACAATAAAAAAAAGAAAAAAATGAATAGGATGTAATACTGTAAGGTGAAGTTGTGTGCTTAAGTTTTGCTAAACTTTTTTTCTTTAAAGGTCACTGTGTAGAGAAAAGGGGTATATACAGAAATGACTATGATGTAACAAGGAAAGATATCAACAAAACTTCTTTTTTTAAATGGGGGTTTGGACCAGATTATGTCTAAAATCCTTCCAGCTCTAACATTCCAGGATTTTCTTCCACAACGTTATCCCCTGATGCCCTTGCAAGTTATTATTAAGCTGGACTGACTATGAATCTGCCCTATCTGCTTAGGATTCCTAAAAGCCTCCAATGTGCAGTTAAGCACTACTCAGTGGGTACCCCAAAATACCCCAAACATTGATGATGATACAAAGTGAAAACCTGAGACACCCTTATAGTCCCCATGAACTGGTATGGCAAAAAAAATTCATCACTTGGATACCAAATCTCTGATGATGAGCCCCTCTGCATTTAACTGTGAGATACCTCCTGCTATTCAAGCCTTTCCAACTTTGTAGTATCCACCAATGGCACAGACTTCAAGAACTAAAGGTCACCTTCACCCCACAATGAAGCATCACAGAAAGAGCTCAGAGGGCCCAGTCACAGCAGCTTATATTCACTTATAGACATCCCCACCGATGTGGGTGGCACTTTAAGTCAGAGATGGTGAGTAACATGGCCACCCAAAGAGTGTCTAGCAATGCAGGTAAGTGACTACCCAATGACCTAATTCCCAATGACGCTTCTATGCTCATGCCCACCTCAGAAGATCGTGCTTCTTGGTTCGGTTGTGGGCGCTGAGTGCCTTCAATTCAGCCTGCCGCTTCCGCAGCTCAGCAAGGACCTCGTCCTCGGAGTCCTCAGCAGGCCTGTCCTCAGACTCCAGCAGGCCCTGGGCTATCAGCTCCTCCTTTATTCGTCCCTCCAGAGACTTGGTATGGGGAACACTGTGGATAGATCAGATGGCCCTGTCACCTAAACTTCACCTCTTGACATCATCCTCACCCATTAGAGGACCCAGCCCTGTGGTTGCAGAAAATATAACTGCTTCTTGATCTAAGCAGCAGCTAATGATAAGGTCCAAGGACTCTCACTTCTCACCCCTGTCTTCTTCACTGGAGGCCTCCCCACTTGAAATCAGAGACCCGTAAGAGTCAGCTGACCCTTAATAGAAGAATGAGCAGAGGCTGGGAAGGGATGGGGTGAGGATGGACAGAGATGGGGACACTACCTACCTGAATGGCTTGTTCTGATTTCTAGGGGAAGTACTGGCACCATCAGCTCCGGATTCCTTGCCAGATACATCCGGGATAGGGGAATCTTCCATAGGAGAGATGATGTTTTCCTAGAAGGCCATGAAAGCAAGACAAGTGCAGTGACTCTGATGTCAAGCTCAGCTTCCCACAGAGGTCACCTTCTCCCTACCTCCCCGTCTTTGATAGGTCATTCCTTCCACAAATCACACCATCTCTAAAAAAGCCTGCTCATCTAACTTCCTCCAGAAAGTCTTCCTAAACTAAGAACAAGTATTCTGGCCACTACAATTATGCAGCAAACACCCTCTTCTGTAGCACTTATGAATGAAAAACGTAGCCAAATGTGGCTTGAATAGATCGAGTTCTTAGGTTCCTTCTCAGCTGTCTATTCTGTATCCCTCCCCCTCCCATTAGACTATGAGTTCTCCGAGGACAGGACACCCTAACTCTTCCTCTGACATTCCCTGGCGATTTATGTCCCATGAAAAAGGGCTCTACACAATGCCACATGATCTGAGGTTATCTTAAGGACCACAGAGCTAGGAGTGGAAGGGACCTTAAAGGCCATCTAGTCCAACTCCCTAATTTTAAACATGAGGAAACTAAGACCCACAACAGTTAAGTTACTTGCCAAAGGTCACACAGGTAGTGAGAGGCAACATTTGAAACCAGGTCCTCTTATCCAAAGCTAAAGCTTCTTCTCACGTCAAACTGCCTTAATCCCATTCTGAGTCCACTGAACTAGAGCATCTTGGGCACCCCAAGACTCTGGATCCTCACCTCCACCAAAGCCTGTAAGAGTCGTTGAGTCAGGGGGCCAAAAGGACACCCATCTTCAGGCTGCTCATGCTGGGCCTCTGATTTCTTAAGCAATGCGTCCACATCTGGAAGCAGAGAGGGGTCAAAGATACAAAGGGGGCGAGTGGATTGCCACATACAGCTCAGACATTCTCCCTGGGTCTTACAGGGATGAGAGAGTGAACTGACTAGATAAGGAGAATACCTTTAGTGTCCAGTTCAGTCAGTGGTCCCATAATGCCTTTCTTCTTGTCAGCTACAGCTGCTGCCCGAGCTCCATCCTTCTGTTCTTCCAGTAAATCCTCCTGGGCCCAGCGCTGGGAATAATGCTTCCCTAGGGGTGGGATCTGCATGAAAAAAGGAAGCAACCAACCTCAATAGGGTAAGGACCAGTCAAACCAAAGAAGGTTTTTTTGTGGTTTTTCCTTCTTTATTCAATATGTTTCAGAACCAGAGCTTGAGGTGGTCTAAGCCTCTGACTAAGACACTCCCTGCCCAAAACAGGGTCCGACAAGGGGTGGTGCTCAGAGGGGTCTACCTTGTAATGCTCAGCCTCATCTTCTGGGGGCTTCAGCAGCTCTTCCAGCGTTCGTACTTCCTCACTGGTGATGTCAGCACAGTATGGCTCCACGGAAGCCCAGAACCTGGGAGCAGAGCCTGGCCCTGAGCACAGACAGTCCCCTCGCCTATTATCAGCCACTGTATTAAGTGCCTGCTAGATGGCTGGGCCCATTCTACATGCTTATCACAGAGAACAATGACAGCCCCCAGGAGATCAGAATCCCCCCTGGCGTCCCTCCCAATTCCTGATAACCCATTTCCCTTGACTTCTCCCAGCCCTGCACCTGTTAGGAGCATCATTCTTGGGAATCCTTGGCACATCAATGGGGTCATCTGTGAACTCATATTCCTGGATCTTGGGCTGGAGGTTCTTTGACTTGGGCCGGCCAGGGCCAGGACCGGGCCCATGACCTGCCTTTCCTTCCAGCTTCTGTTTTTTGGGCTTGCCATGTTTTGCAGGGGCTCCCAGTTCATGGTCCCGGCCCAGCTTCAGGAATCGCCGGTCACCTTTCTTATCCTGCCAGTCAGTCAGGATCTGAAAGACAGACAGACAGTTACTGTGAGAAAGAAGGAAGTCAAAGGTGTCGCTTTCTCCCCCCTGCCAAAAAAGCTGGAGCCTAAGGAACACAAGCCCTCAAGAAATGGGCTGGTGGTTAATTCTTGTTGTGAACTATAACTCAAATATTCACCTAGGCAGCCTTCCCAGCATGATCCCATGCTGTTAAAGCACTTCCCTCAAACTCACAGCAATTCATGCTGGTGTCATTGTGTACTTATACATTTTTTTTTTACACATGGCCTGCTTCCAAGCGTGTAACCTTCTTCTGTCTTCTCTAACTCCCCTAACATCCACAGCATGAGTATAATGACTCCTGCCTATTCCATTCCTACTTGGCCTCACTATCCAATCTGCATTCTCCCCCTTCTCCTTCTACCCTATCACTAGGCAGGGACAAATTAAAGAAAGAAGTCACCTGGGTCTCAGCCTCCAGCACCCGAAGACGTCGGCTGGCTGAGGAAAGCAGGTTCTCCAGCTCCAGCTGCAGGGTATCAAGCTCCTCAATGCCGATGCCATCATCTTCTGAGCGGGCCAGCACTGCTGTATATCGGGGACATACCTTCAGGTGGTCCACTGACTTGAAGTCATGGAACTGCAGTGGGCAGTCCTTCAGCTCACTCATGGCCTCTAAAGGGCTGGAGAGGAAAACAGTCAATTGACAAGAACTGGGAGGTGGTGTGGCACAAGAGGACCTCGATGGGAAGGTGATGGCCTGGGATAGCATTAACTTCAAATGTGAGCCGTAATTCTCCTTCCCACTTCCAAGATGTGACAGCTCTCTTTCCTCCAAAGTTGACTCTAATTCTACTCCTGCCTTTATGATCCCCAGCTATGTCTCCCGCTGGGCTCTTGTCCTTATTCTTCCTATCTCACAAATTGTTTCCTACTTCCATAACCCCTAAACTTCTCCCTCCTTCCTTTCCATGTTCTTTTTTATTCTTCTTTTTCCTTATTCAATTCAATAAGCCTTCATTAAGCACCTGCTATGTACCAGGTACTGTGCTGGGTACCAAGAATACAAAGATAAAAAGAAAATAGTCTTTGCTCTTGAGGTATTTATATGCTACTGAGGGGAAACTATATACACATAAATATACGTATATGTGTGTATATACACATATATGTATATATAGATACACACATATATATGTGCAAATAAATCCTAAAAATACAAATTAATTTGGTGGACAGGGCAATAACAGCTGGGGGAAATTGATACACACTTTTTGTAGGAATTGGCATTTAAGCTGAACCTCGAGGATCCTAGGGACCTTTGTAAAGACAGAGACAAAATGGCAAGAGTGAGTAGGCAAGGAAGGCTAGTTTGGTGGGAGGCACAGTGCCAGTCGAAGAAGAATGAACCTGAAGTCAAGAGGTAGATAAAGTTAAATGACAAAAAAGAGGAGTTGTCCTCTGTTCTAGAGGCAAAAGGGAATCACAGAAGTCCCCTTTGTATGATAAAGGGCATGTGAGTAAATACAAGAGGGCAGATTTGAGAAATGTTATGGAAACAGAACTGCCAACGCCTGGCAACTGGTTGAATATGAGATGTGAAAGAATGAGCCCCAGGCTTCGAACCTGGACTACCAGAAGGAAGGTGGGGTTTTGTACTTCTCTGCGCACACACCGTTTCCCCTCAGGAGGACGCAGCTGACTCCCAGACAACAAAGTGAGAGGCAGCATGACCTAATGAAGAGAACACTCACCAGAAATAGGGAAGTTAGGAGAAGGGACAGGTCTAAGGAGAAAATCATGTTCTGGATGCGCTGAGTTTGAGATGACTATAGGACATCCTGGAGAAGACATCTAGCAGGCAACCGGTGAGCCGAGGCTCGATCTAAGAAAGACCATGGCTGGATTTCACAGAGTCACAGATTTAGAGCTAGAAAGGATCTTAGATGACAGAATCTGATCCTTCCCTCCCCACCCTTCATTCATTTTTCAGAGAAAACTAAGACACAGAGAGGTTCAGGGAATTGTCAAGGGTCATACAACAAATGTCTAAGGAAAGATATGAACTCAGATCTACCTGACTCCAGGTACAATGAGTGCTCTATCCACTAGGCCATGCTGCCCTTCAATTTGAGACTGAGGAGTCAGCTGCATCCTACTGAGGTGAAACAACATGTACACAGCTAAGTACAAAATTCACATAAAATAAATGCAAAGTAACTTGGGGCAGGGATCAATTACAACTAGGGGAAATCAGAAAAAGCCTTTGGTAGGAGGTAAGAGAGACAACAGCTGAACTTATGGGAGATGCTGATATCACCAAAAGAAAATACGTAGAGAAGCGAACCTCAGTTACAGCCCTAGAGGACACTTAAGAGTTATATGTGAGTTATGATGCTTCTGCACTCAGGCCAAATCCTCTTGACAGCTAAGTGCAACCTAGACCACCTGAACACTGTATCTATTAAGAGGCAATCAGATACCATTCAGCCTTCCATCTTAACATCTGCCTGTCACCTTGCACCCTCAACTTCCTACTGCCTTCAGCACAGTATTCAAACCAAAAGTGCCACTGCTTCTGGAAAGGAACATGTCAATTGACTGCCCTATATACAACGACTCAACATCCTTGTGAATCCTCAGACCAAAACTCTCTTCCCTAATTATCATGTTTGTTAACCTCCCCAATTAGAATGTAAGCATCTTGAGAGCAGGGACTGTCTTATATTTGTACTCCCAACACTCTCATCCTCTCCAGGCTACATTCTGGACTTTCTCTACCATGCCCCAACCTAAAGCTTCTTTCCAGTCCAGGAACTCACACTTTGGAAGTAACCTGGGTCCCTGAAGCCTCTCTCTCTGATTAGATGGCTCCTCATAGAATTCCCATTTAAGGAAGACTGCCCAGGCCAAGCTTGTCTCATTGTACTCTGAACTTCCTCTACCAGCCCTCCACTTCATCTCCCCCTGTTAAAGTGCAAGCTCCCTGGGTATTTGTGTACCCAGCACTTAAACACAGTGCCTGGAAGTCATAACTGCTTAATAACAAAGATTTGCTTGTTGACTAGATGGTGCTCGGCACTAGTATGTCCCTACTAAGTGTTCATTCGTTTGTTTAAAGGATACCGAGGAGAGATAGGAGAACAAAGAAGGAACATAAAACCCAGTGGAAGAGAGAGGATCCAGAAGATGATTAACATTGTCAAATGCAAGCGTCAAGAAGAATGAGGACTGGAGAAAGGACAGAACACCACAAGGATCGTGCTCTTACTATGACCTTCCCACAGGTTTCCCCTCCTATCCTCCTCCTACACAGCTGCCCCTGACTCTTCTTACTGATGGTGCCACCAAGCCCTTCCCCCTACCACTATTCTCAGATTCCCCCCTCCCCGCCCCCATGGTCTCCCTTCACTCCTTGCCTCCCAACACCCCACACCCCCTTCCCTCCCCTCCACCCCCCATGTCCCCTCATTCCCTCAACCCCCATGTCCCCTCACCTCCACGCCCCCTTCCCCCCATGTCCCCTCATTCCCTCACCCCACTCCCCCTTCCCTCCCCTTCACTCCCCATGTCCCCTCACCTCCACGCCCCCTCCCCTCCCCTCTCCCCCAGGTCCCCTGACTCCCTCACTTTCACGCCCCCCTCTCCATTCCCCGTGTAGTCGTCCCCCCTAGCCCTCTCGGCGCCACGCCCCCCTCGGCCCTCCCCACTCCCCGTGTCATCCTCCGCTCCCCCAAACCGTCACCCCCTCCTCAGCGCCCCCACCCCTCCTCGCTCCTAGTGTTGTCCTCCCTTTCCCCCGCTCCCCTTGCCCCCACGTCACACCCCCTCGGGCCCAGTCCCCCGCCTCTCCTCACTCCCCGTGTCATCGCCCACTCCCCACGCCCCGGTCCCGCCTCCACCTTCACAGCCCGAGCTCTATCCGGATCCACGAGGCGCGCGCTCGGCCGGCCTCGAATGCTCGCGGGTGGGGGGCCGGGGTCCGCGAGTGCAGATAACCGCTGGCCCTGCAGGGACAGGCGGAGCCGCCCACTGCGTCCCGGAGGTGGTGCAAAGGGGCCGGGCCCACTCTCGGGCGAGGCTGGGGAGCCTCGGCGGCTCAGGCCAGGGCAGTAACAGACCGCGGGCGGGCGGGGTCAGAACCGGAAGAGGCGGAGCGATCCTGTGTCTGGTACTGTCCTAATATGGAGCCAGAACGGTGAGCTGGGCTGTACCTTCTCGCGGAGAGAGGGGGAGACACGAGGAGGATGCAGAGATGACAGGGAAGGACAGACACCGCAGAAGCTCACACAATCATTTCAGGCCTTGAAGAAGTGTTCATAGCCACGGAGAGAAGGGGTTCCGGCAAGCTGCAGCGGCAGAAGAGACCAGCTGTCGTTGCTTCGCTCCAGCCACCCCTGCCCCAGGAGCGTCAGTGGTAGCGCCCAGTCCCGGCTCCCGGAAGAGACGGCCCCCCGGAGTCAGTGCAGTCCTGCACTTCCGCTTTCCGGCCTAGCCAGACCCAGCAATGGTAAGAACCGGGGGGGCGTCCGCTGAGGGATCTCGGGGGGAAAGGGAGGGAGGCGGCCCCGCGGTGGGGAGGGAGCTGAGGCCTCCCAAGACTGAGGAGGCTCAGGGGCCGGTGGGAGAGCCGGAGCAGCTCCACTGGGGAGGAGCCCGGGAGGACTGAGGGGGCGCCGGGGGCTGGGGGAGCTGCAGGGGCAAAGGCGCCGAGGGCGAATGAGGGGCTTGACAGAAGGGCGCAGAGAGGATGAAGGAGGGTGCCAGGGGCTCGGAAGAAGGAAAGGAGGGGGGGAGGGAGAGAGGGGAGAATGAGGAGGGGGGAAGCAGAAGCTGGGGGGACGCACGGATGGATGAGTGGAGGGGCAAATGCGCGGAGGGCGGATGATGGGGGAGACCCGAAGACTGAGAGGGCTGGAGGAGGGCCAGGGAGGGGCAGCAAGAGCATAGAGTGAAGAAGGGGAAGTGGGCAGGGGTGAGGGAGAAGGAAGAGGCGAGGGCCTGCATGAAAAGGCAGGATTCAGAGATGGGGGACTGAGATTTGGATCCCAGCCCTGCACTTGGCAAAGGCTGAGTGACCTTGACCAAGTCATTTATCTCTGCCTTAATTTTCTAATTTGGCGGTTATGTCCGTGCCACCCACCTCTAGAGTGTAAATGAAAGTGCTTTGACAAGTTATGTGTAGAGGCATATGAAGTCACTTCCTGAGAAATGGGAGGATGCTACAGTGATCCAAAGACATTTTTCGGGGAGGAGTTGAGGGGTGGGGCATGAAGAGCACAGGTTACAGAGCTCAAGGTAGACCCACCGTCCAGTCTGCAAGCAGATTGCCGCCTCTCCATCTCCTCACCTTGGTGAGATAGCTGTCACTCCTGTTCAGGTCAGCCAATGGTACTGTCCGGTTCCTATTAAGATGCCTAACTGAAAAGAAAAAGTCCATGTTCCTTGGAGGGGGGGGGCACCCAGCCCTGATTCCTTATGGTTTGTTTTGTTTTCTTCTGCAGACTGCCACTCTCCGCCCCTACCTTAGTGCCGTGCGGGCCACGCTGCAGGCTGCACTGTGCCTGGAGAATTTTTCCTCCCAAGTTGTGGAGAGGCACAACAAGCCAGAGGTAGAAGTCAGGTAGGAAAGAAGTGGAGCATGAGGGGCCTTGCTTAAGGAGACTGATGGGCAGCACCATTACCAAGGTTTCAGTGAAAATTGCAGAGCTGTGTCTGCAGCACTACCATCCCACTAGGTGGGACATCCCAGAATGGTGCATATGGGTGAAGAATCCCACAGAGTAATTTCAGGAGTTTTATAGATCTCTGAATTATCACTTCCTCTTTTTTCTTACCATAAGGACTGAGGGAGGGTATAGTGAGGGACATGAGCTGACAGAAATTTTGGTGGTAAGTGCAAAAATCATTCTGGATCAATGATTAAAGGATTTGGGCTCATGTTAATTATTTGCCCCTGAATCTACTTATATAGCTGATCTCTTTCATTCCTGTTTTGAAGCATCTGTGCAGTTAGCTAGACTGTGTACACCACCTTGTGCTTTATCTTAGTTGGTGATTGTAGGGCCCTTTGTGGGGTCTTCTAAACTATGGGTCCATCCGATGACAGTGGAATCTTTGACATTGCATTTATAGGAGTAGCAAAGAACTCCTGTTACAACCTGTGACCATCAGCAGGAATGAGAAGGAAAAGGTTCTGATCGAGGGTTCTATCAACTCTGTTAGAGTCAGCATTGCAGTGAAACAGGTAAGTTTAACACTTGAGGACTGCTTAAAACTGGAGACTGGATGTTAGCAGTTTTGTATTACGCTGAGCACATAGGGCCCTGAGATCTAAGAGATTGTTGAGAAAAACTTAATGAAATGAAACAGATTGATATTTTCTGGGACCTAACTGCTTTAGGAGGGTGATCAGTGTGGAGACAAAGTAGATTCTATTATGAAATAAGTAGCAGGTTGAATCTTTTCAAGTTGTTACTTTTTGCAGGCTATAGTGGGCAGAGCCCCATTAATAGAGTCAGAGCTGCATGTGAGCCTTTCCTGCCTCCTTGTGGACTTGGGCAGGCCACAGACAAAGGTTATGTTTCTGTAAGCCTCAGTTTCCCCATGCATAAAATGAAGATAATACACTACCTACTTTGCAGGGTTCTTGTGAGGAACAAATGAAATAGTTGAACATAGTTTATAGACATAAAATAGTATGTAAATGTATATTGATTTCTAATGATAACACAAGTTCAGACATATTTTGGCAGCATGGTACAAAACTGAGCCAGTTCTCTTTTCTGGGTCTAGGCCTTTTGACTGTTTTTTGGTGGAATGAGAGAGGAGTACTAATGGCTCTTCTTCTGAGTTCAAATCTGCCCTTAGACACTTTCTAGCTACGCGACCATGGGCAAGTCACTTAACCCTGTTTGCCTCAGTTTCCTCATCTGTAAAATGAGCTGGAGAAAGAAATGTGAAACCACTCCCAATATTTTTTGCCAAGGAAATCCCAAATGGAATTACGAAGTGTCAAACGTAACTGAAATGACTGAACAACAAAAATTATATACATACTTCATCTGGAGAAAGGAAGTAGAACTAGTTCCCAGGAATGAAAAAAGGTCTTTATTGCATCACGGACCCCTTAGGTAGTCTAATGAAGCTCACGGACCCCTTCTCAGAATATTTTTTTAAAATACTGAGAATTGAAACAGAAACCAATGATATCAAAATACAGATGTGAAAAAAAAATTCACAGACTCTAGGAACTCCTATGTTCATGTAATGGTCTTGAGTTGGGGAGGACCTTCCCTAATAAGCTTAACTGTCCTCATTCTTGAAGATTATTTTCTTTCCTTTTGATTTCCAGAAACTTGGGTTAAGGAACATTGTAAGGCAACAGTCTCAGAATGGACAGCCTCTGTGTGGTAGCCCTGTGGAGACATGGTTGGGTTCGAGAGATTGAGGATCAGGCCATTATGCTCTTCATGTCCTGTTGTGCTGGCTTTGTGGAAACATGGGTTTTTTATTGGTCTCTGCAGGCTGATGAGATTGAGAAGATCCTTTGCCACAAATTCATGCGCTTCATGATGATGAGAGCAGAGAACTTCTTCATCTTGCGTAGGAAGCCTGTGGAGGTGAGCTAGAGACCTAGATCTGAAGCACTTAACCAGGGAGAGTAGCTGTAATTGATGGGTCCTGGGTTCACAACTTTGGTAGGTTAATAACCACTGGCCTGTGTAGATACGACCTTGTGACCTTCCTGACTCAAAATATGTTTCTGGTTTTTTTTATGTGCTCATTTGTCCACCTGTCTCCGTGACACATGAGAATTCCCAGTGGGATAGGAACAGTGTCTGAGACAGCATTTCATGCATTGCAAGATTGTTCCTGGATTGATGATTGTCCCTGATACCTCCATCTTGGCTAGCTCAAGGCCCGAGATCACCATCTTGAAATCTTCCTCCAGGCAGTAGTCAGTGAATTGTCTTTCTTTGGCTGGGAAGGAGAGGCATCAGAGGCTTAGGAGAAACCATTCTCTCAACTTAAGTACTGTGGGTAATACAAAAAAAAGCATAAGACAACGGTTCCACTCTTAAAGAGTGTCTAATCTAGTTGGGAAAATATAATAGTTTTCATTTATGTTTCATGCACTATCAGAGGTTCCCAAACTCATTTGGCTTACTGCCCCCTTTAAGAAAAATTACTCGGGGTCCTGGGGTGGGGTTAGGTTAACCTTTATTTTTATTCAATGCCCTCCAATTGCACCTGAGGCTGCTACTGCCACCCCCACCCCCCCAGGATTGTTCCAGCACCCCCACAGGGGGTAGTATCACCTACTTTGGGAACCCATGCACTATATCTTTCGAATTTCACAACATTTTGAGGTATTCATTTCCCTGTTTTACAGTTTAGGAAACTGAGCCTTTGAGGGATTTGCCCCAAGGCACTCAGCTGGCTAGTGAGAGGCTGATCTGAGATCTGAACCTCCTGGCATTCTCACTTTGGTCTAGCATTCTGTCTAGCCAGGGCAGCATTGCCACCAAGGAGGTTTTGCATCTTCAGATGTCTTTGTCTCTCTGGGCTTCATAGGAGCTTAGGATTTAAAGGTGGAAATCATTTATTCTTACCCCCATCATGTATACATGAGAAAACTGGGACCTTGTAAATTTCAGTGATTGGCTTAGGGTTGCGCAGCTCCTCTGACTGCACATCTAACTCTTCCCAATATACATACTGTGTTTCAGTTTCCCTGTCTGTAAAATTTGAATGGGTTAGATAACCTCGAAAGATGTTTGCATCTGTTAAAGCCCTGTGATTCTTTGGTAGATGGAGCAACAGTTGCTTCAAAAATAGGATTGAAGAAAAAAATGCTTTCTAAACTTTCTAGACAGAATAACCCTTGTAAGATCAACGCTAGAGAAAAGAGATGATTCTCTAGGATGGCCCTTATATCATAATCAGTTTGAGAATACATTCTCTCTTTCCTCCAGATCACAGCCTGTACCCAAATATCCTGTAGGTATGCATACCAGAAATGTAGAGAAGCTTTGTGCAGCCTCAGGTTCAGTCCCCTCATGGTCCCAAAAGAGTCGATATCTTGGCAGGTGAAAGATAAATATAGCTGGTGAGAAGCTAGGTTTTCCATGCTACTACCCTCCTCTGGATAGAGAAATAATGGGCCTAGGGTGATGATTGAGACATATTTTTTTTTTGGACCTGGCCAATGCAGGACTTAATTTTGCTTGACTGTGTGTTTTGTTTAGAAGGGTTTTTCTTTTTCATGCTTTCTCAGTTTGGGGGAATTAGAGGGAAAAAGGCAGACTTTCATTGATTGAAAAAAGTTTTAAAGAATTTTTTTAAAAGATGGGAATTGAAGGAGAGAATATGGATTAAGAGGGGAGGATGTGTGGTCTGCAAGGGCTCCTACTCTCCTTCCCCACCCCCAACAGCTAAACTAATTTTTTTCTGTTTCTTTTTTTGTTTCACAGGGTTATGATATCAGTTTCCTGATTACAAACTTCCACACAGAGCAAATGTACAAACACAAACTGGTGGACTTTGTGATCCACTTCATGGAGGAGATTGATAAGGAGATCAGTGAAATGAAGCTGTCGGTCAATGCTCGAGCTCGTATTGTGGCAGAGGAGTTCCTCAAGAATGTGAGGATTTTGAGGGCTTTGCTGTTTCGTTAGGGGGAAAGAAGGCTGGCGTAGAAATCAAATCACCTTTTTTAGTAGAAAGATGATGTTTAGAAAATGGCATTTCTTCCCTGAAAAATTGTTAGGGCTGGAATGAGCATCTGAGGCAGCTCTGATGCAACTGGTTGCTTTGGGCCTAGATCTGGAGGCCAGCTGTGATAGATGGAGCCTTTTTCCATCTCTTAAGACATTCCAGGAAATCTCCAGTGATCACCTGGTCCCAGCATCTCAAAATATTCATACCCAGAAAGCTCTTGTCTATATTTCACTTGTATCATCATGAGGGAAGTTAAGTAGTGTTCTGCAAAGATAGAGAGTAGGAACCATGGTTTGCATAGCTTAGAAGTCATTCCATATCTCATTTCTGACCTCTGTTTTTCAGGCTTAATGATCTTAATTTCTACAGCCAGTTTTTAATATTTTTTTTATCTACTCCTCACAAAGTTGTCTATTTCTTTTTAGTTATAGGGACCTTTAGTAAGGAAGGCCTACTCAGACTGTGTAAGAGCACTTGACTGGTGTTTGCTTCCTACATGTTTATTTGATTTTGGCTAGATAATCTCACACACACACACGAGTGCTTGAGTCCCACAGAACTTCAGTTCTTGGTGTGTTCAGTTCATAGTTAACTCTTATCCCAGATACCTAATTTAGTATTTATTGTGCATAGAAAAGCATAGACCTTGCCCAGAAGAAGTTGACTTTCCTAAAAATGACAATTACTGCCAGTTTCTCATGGGATTTGATTAAACCTCATGCTCTCTGTGCAGAAAATAGATATAATAATCACAGCTCTGGAGATGAGAAGCTCCATTCAACAAATATTTTTTGAACCATGTGCAGAGCACTGTGCAGGTACCCAGGGAGATAGAAAGATGTATAAAGTAATCCCTGCTCTCAAGGACTTTATAATCCAGTGAAATTGAGGAGATGCTGTGGTGGCTTAAGGTTGAAGTCTAGGGTGCTTTGACTTCATCCTTATGTACTTAATATAAGCATTTGTTGAGTAGCTGCTGCCCCAGGTTGAGGGTGAAACAATGCGTTCAACTTCTGTTTCAGCATTTCAAGGATACACGATTTCATCCTTGTGGGTACTTTACTGATGGCTGCACCTTAGTAATCTGCGGAGTTGTTATGGCAAAACAAAACACTAATAATAATTATGGGGCTAAAGGACTGTATAAATCTGGTTTGGGACAGGGAAAGACAGAGAAAGAATGAGAGACTGCCACTGGAGTATTCAGAAGAGTTATCATTTCATCGGTGTGGGCTCCTCTTCCACCAACAAATGGCAGCCTTGCCTTGCCTTAATGGAAGTCTTCATGCCTTGTTGTGGCCTTCAAACAATTCAGGGCCTAGTTGCTAATCCTTGGTGACAAATCTTTCTGAACTCAGCTGGGCTGGTCTTTAGATGACAGGTTGTCACCAGGCCTGTACAGTCTGTCCAGCTGGAGATAGGCCTTGCTAGAACAGATGATGTAATATTCAAGAACCCAGGAATATGTGGGCATAATGATGGTCATCAGAGATGGATGTTAGTGGTGGGGCAACCAGTGAGATACCTTTACCCCTCTTCCTCCAGACTAAGAGGCTGGTCTGTTAGGTTAGGCAGCCTGCGGCTGAGGTGAAATAAGGAAGAGCGCAGGTCTTTCATCCTTAGTCACTTAGTGTAGTGCCCAAGGTAGGCATTTATTAAGTGCTTGCTGAATAAGTAATGTGGGGGGGGGTATTAGGTAGCAGAAGGAGATAGAAAGGAAGAGAGAAGCTTTGAAGACCTTAATTAAGTGGGGGCTGTTTAGCTGAATTCTGATGAAGTTGGAGGAATCAATGCAATGCCAGCACCATTGAGCACCTAATCCCAGTTTCCTCTTTTGCTTTCTTCACAGTTCTAGAGCATCTGACTGGATCTCTGGCTGCTCCCTCCTCATCCTCTCTCCTCTCTCTGCAAAGTTGCCCTGGCGGAGCTCAAGAATCCTGGGGCAAGGGGAGGGACAGGGCTTGGGGATGAAGGGCACAGGCTGGAGAGCTTGCTATTGGAAAGAAAACAGCAGTAGACCTGCAAGGCCATACCCAGTGGGTCAGCCTGGCCATCAATATTTAGTCCCCTGGGCTGGGACAGGTTTTTTTTTAATGTCTTGAAATTTAAAACTCTGTGCTTGTAGGACACTGTAACCTTTTGTCTTTTTTTAAACCAACTTAACCACCTCCAGTTACTTTACTGGTCGCTGTGGGTCTGGGCGGGCCTGGAGCCAAAAGGTGACTGTGGCCTTTTCACCCTCCCCCATCTCCCCCCCAAAATGTGCAGGGAAGAGAGGTTTCAGGCTACAGTTCTTTTTTTCCCTTTCTCCCCAGGGCCTCAAAAAGCCATAGGGGCTGCTTCTTGGCTTTCTGAGATCTGCCTGAGGGGCTGCTGTCATAAGATAGCTTGAGGTAGGGGTAAAGCTAGGTAAGACAGTCCCTAATTGTGCCCAGGAGCCCTCAGGAGCTGGAGCCTAAGACCCAGGCAGGTTCTGGAGGGGAGGAGAGCCTCTGTTCAGACCTGCTTCTTGGGGGTCCGTTACTGTCCATGCTAGAGGTGGTGAATCCTTCCTTAGTAGTTGTCCCTGCCAATCAGTGTACCCATCCCTTTGCCTGTCCTGGATTCTTCTGCTCTTGCACTCCGTGTGACTTTTCTTAATCTGGTGACCACACCCCATTAAAATCTTTTCCTGCCCTCTGAGGGGCTGCATGATGTCTGCGCTGTGTGTGTGAACAGAGGGCAGCGATGGGGGTGAGGGGTGTGGAGCTCTGTGGTGGCTGCAGGAGCATCGGTATCCCCGGGCCCTAGCTTCCCTCATGGCTCGAGCAGGGGGTTGCTCAGCTTTGGAACATTCTCTAACCTGTGGCCACCTTGGAAGCAAACCAATCCACAGCAGTAGCTGGAGTTTCATCCCCTTCTATCCCTTTGGGTTCTAAGATTGAGAATTTTGGCCTAATGGGCCTTCCCTTCACACTTTGCTAAGGGGATAAAGGGTGCATCTGGGAGGAAACGCAGCCTAGCAGCGAGGCATCCTCTCCCTCGTGCATTTCGGAAGAAGGTTGCTACAACCAGCAGCCTCTTGGGGCGAACGTCCACTAGGAGTGAGGCGCAGGGAGGGGCGTTTGCCTTAAGAGGCAAAGCCGCCTCCGGTGTACAGCAGGAGTCCGAACCTCGTTCCACCTAGGTGACGCGCCCCCCTTTATTGTGCCCCGGGGATGGTTTCCATAACAACGCTAAACAGAGGGCGGGGTTACACGTGAGACCGAAGCTCCCCGGGCCAGAGCGGTCCGGACGAACCCTCCCCCACCTCGGCTCTCAGGTGGAGGAGCCTGCGCGTGACGGGGGGCGAGGGACTTCGCCCGTTCTATGCAGGGCCTTGGGGCTGCTGTTCTCTTGGGGGGTGGGGAGCTCGGGGCGGTGTACAAGGGGGACCCTCCATGGTATGCAGAGCAGACCCAGGGCGCATACAGGGGCGACCAGCTATGCAAAGAGCCTGTCTGGCGGAGGCCGGGCTTCAAAGCCGTAAATCCCCCGCGCCCCGGCGTCCTGGTGCCGCGGGTGGGCCTTCCCAGGCCCTGGCGCACAAACTCCTATTGGGGCCGCCCCCGGGTACCGGGGTCGGCCACTCCCCACCTCCTGGCTCTGCATTGGCCAGGAGCCGAGTCGACGTTGTGGGACCCCGGGAGCCTGAGCGCCCCAAATGCGGGGCCGCAGAGCCGGGCGGGGCCCCGAGTTGCCTCTGGGTCCGGCGCCCCAGGGCGCGGAGCCGCCGCTGCCTCTCCGCTGGGCCCCGCGGCCTCTTCTAAGGTGGGCGCTGAGACTGCGGGGGTGCAGCCGCCCCCGGGCAGCCAGGGTGAGTCCCCCGAGCTACCTTTCCTCCCAGCAGACAGCTTGGGGTCTGGGAGCATGAACCAGGGCCCTTCGGCGCCCGCGGACGGCGAGAAGAAGGCCAAGGTCATCCCTCAGCCGCGGTCTGCGAACAGTATTGTACTCCCGGGCCGCCCGCCGACCCTGGACAAACCGCGGCTAGAAGGTGAAGTCCGACGTGGGCCCCTTCACTCTATGCCTGTCTCCCCTCTCCCCTCTCCCCTCTCGCCTTGCTTCTCCCTTCTGCCCCTCCTCCCACCTGCCAAGGAAAGGGGTGGGGGTGGAAGGTGCGTGCATAGGTGGGGGGGAGGCGATCATCGGATGCAGAGAGGATGGATGGATAGGGGCAAGCAAGGGAGGCAAGGAGGGAGAAGACCAAGAGGTAAATAGAAAGGTAGGGGTGGGGGTGGGGAGAGGGACTATAGAGAAGGAGATAGGCTAGGGGCAGGGTATCAGGAGGTAGATGGATGGGGAGAGAAGACAGAGGGAACCAGTTATATGGATAAGGAGGGGGTGCAAGGAAGAGGACAGGAGATACAGAGAAACAGATGGGGAGGAATAGGGTTAGTATATGAATAGAGGGGACCAGAAGACATGACATATGGGGATGAATTGGACACTAGGAGATGGAGGAGGAGACCAGATGGTGTTATGGATTGGGCGGTAGCCGGGAATGCAAAAATTACATATAACTCAGGGCTCTACATAGATAGGAGGGGATCAAGAGGGAGATGAACCATTCGGGAATTAGAGAGAGAGGAAATAGAGGGAAGGAACAATTAATTCTATGTATGGGGACAGGGGAGTCAGAGAAGGAACCAGGAGTTGGGGGCAGGGGATGAAGAAAAAGATGGAGGGATAGGGAAAAGGAGTTGATGGAGGGGACCAGGAGAGAGATAGATCAGGACTGACTGGGGAGAAGGGAATTGGAGGGATAGAACCAGTTGTGTGATTGAGGATTAGGAAAGCAAGGGAAGATTTGGGAGGTATATGAATGGGGACTGGTTAGAGGGAAGGAGATGGAGGAGGGAACCAATTGTATAGATGAAGATAGGGTATTCAGGGAAGGGACTTAATGGTATGCATGGTTAGTGGGATGGAAGTTAAAAGATGGATGGGGCAGCTAGGTGTCAAAAGTGGAAAGAGCTCCGGCTTTGGAGTCAGAAGGACCTGAGTTCAAATATGACCTCAGACACTTGACATTTACATGGCTGTGACTGTGGGCAAGTCACTTAACCCCACTTGCCTCACCAAAAGAAAAAAAAAAGATACAGGTAGGATTAGAGGCTGAGGATGAAGGGAAGCAAACAGGAAAAATGTGTGCATGTAGTCAGAGGTTTGGGTAAGGGTTAGGAGAGGAGGTATGGGTTGTTAAGGGGAATGGGGTTAAAGAGAGACCAGGAGGTATATGGATGGAAACAAGGAATGAAGAAAAGAGACCAGGAGACATGGATAGGGAAAGGAGCACAGGATAGGGGAAGGGGACAGATGGTAGAAGATGGGAGTAGGACAGAAGACTAAAGGATGGGAGAATAGGAGATGGAAGAAATAAAAGATGGGGTAGAAAGATCAGAAGCAGGCAGTACTTTGGGAAGAAGACTGGTAATGGAAGGATGCAAGGACAGGAATAGGTAGAGTCAGAAAAGGTAAAGACCTGGATTCCTAAGGGTTAGATAGAGGATTGGACTGTACAGAACAGGGTTTAGGAGGAGAGTTTGACAGAACAGCTTCCAGGATTTGTCTGGCTATCTCACTGTAGGCCCCCAAGCTCCGATGTCTGTCTGGAAAGGGTTCCCTGGGGCCCCACTCAACATTGACCGGCTTAAGAATGCCAAGATCCTGGTGCAGAGAGCCATCAAGGTCAGAGGGGGGAAAGAAAGGGGAACAGGGAGACCTGTCAGAGTCAGGGGGAAACTGAGGTGGAATAAGGCCTCAGGGAGCACTGACATTCTGTCCACTTCCTCAGCCTCCTTCTCCCTTGCCTTCCCTCACCCTATAGCAGAAGAAAGTCTTCATGATCCAGGGCCGCTACCCCGTGATCCGAGGGATCCTGCGCCGTCGGGGCTGGGTGGAGAAGAAGATTCCCCGTTTAACAGCAGCGCCAACAATACATCCCCCTAAAGGTTTTGACAGCTTTGGATCTGGAGATAATGATATCCCTGAGGACTGTGATGAAGGTAATAATAACTGACTCCTCACATTCTTCCCCCCACCCCTGGCCCCCCACACCACCACCTCTGGGGAGTTTGGGAGGGATTCAAGCCAGTCTTGAGAAGGGTATGAGTCCAAGGCTAGAGCTGGGGTGGGAAGGGGAGATGAAAAATCTAACCAGCAACCCTACTCCCTTCTTAGCCCCTGGCTTGTTTCTGTGGGTGAAAGTTTAAAATGAATATCCAGAGTGACCTTGAAAGGAAAAGATGCCAAAGAAGAAGAGCTTGAGGGTGAGGGTTTTGTGGAAGGGACAATCCTGCTGGCTTTGTGGTGGTGATGGAATCCCAGGGGAATGATCTTCTTATAGTTAGGAGCCAGTACAGGCCACCCACTGAATGTCTGCTTGAATTCTTGTACAAAGGGTCCCATTGTAGTTTTTTTTTCTTTGATAAGAGTAGAGGCTCTGAAAGGAGGGGTTAGGTAGAACAGAGCAGAGCCTCATCTATTTGGGGTTTTTGTCCCATAGAGGATGAAGAAGATGATGATGAAAGTCAACAGCCAGATCCTGACGATACAGATGGCACTCATGACCTTATGGTAATGGGGAGAGGGCCCCCCCTTTTCCTTCAGTTTAGAGATCAGAGGGTCAACTCTCCCAGGGAATCCCTCCAGGATATTTTAAGGGATTGGTAAGAAGGTGGGCTGCTGAGGTGAGGGCCCATAGAGGGACAGGGAGATGACCTTGTTCATCTTTCCACTTTCCACCCTCTCCCTTCTGTCCTAGTCCCGAATGGTTCGAAATGAGTTGCCCTATTTCATCTGGACCACCCGGAGGGATGTGATTGACTGCCGCTTCCTCTGCAAAGAGCAAATTATAAATCATTATGCTCGGGCAGGCTCCTTCACCACTAAGGTGGGATCTGTTAGATGGAGGTGGGGAGGAGGGACACACCATGCTGCAGTGGGCAGGCCAGGCCAGACTTACTCAGTTCTCCCTCCACCCTGGGTATGTACAGGAAAGGGAAACATCCCTCTCCCTGCCACTCAGTCAGTCAGAAAGTACAGTTCTTGCACACATACCACATGCCTACTCCTGCCCTAGTCACTTATAAGGAAGTGTGAGATGTAGTCCCTACCCTTAAGGAGATGGGGAGAAAAGAAGCATAGGCACAGAAGGCAATTATCAATATAAGATAAATGATGATCTGGTACTAAATTGTGTGGTATAGACCACAGTATAGAATTGTCAGAGTTCAAAGGAGAACATTGAAGGAGTAGAAAGATCAGGAAGAAGAAGGCAAGGTTGAAACTGGCCCTTGAAGGATGGTGGTGGTCCAGGCATGGGGACTAGCAGAACCAAAGGTATGGAGGGCGAGAATTAGCAAATTTGGGGCAGAGCAGACCATCCTTCCTGTAATGGAGTGCCTGTGGGTGGGACACCCTCTTCATAACAATCTAGCCACATCCTCCAGGTGCTGCCAGTCCCCTGAGCAGTCTTTAAACATTCAGCTCACTGCGGGTCCTCCCCTTGCTTGGAAATGTGTGGAAAATATGGGTGAACCCCCTAAGTCAATTTGGCAAGCTCAGTGGAAGTTCCACCCTGTGCCCTACTCTGGCTGACTTCCTAGGTTGGTCTGTGCCTCAACCTCCGGAACCTGCCCTGGTTTGATGAGGCCAGTGCAGACTCCTTCTTCCCACGCTGCTACCGCCTGGGAGCCGAGGATGAGAAACAGGCTTTCATGGGTAGGATTATGCCCTCTTCCCCAGCTCCTGCTCCTCACTCCTTAAGGCTAGGGAATCACCTCTGTTTGAAGCTGGAGAATTCTCTGCTTTGCCTGGTCATAGTTTGGGTGACCCTTCCCCTGCCAGATTTCCTTCCATGACCCTGTCTACTAGGCCTTGTTCCTTTCCTAATCATACCTTCTCTGAGATGCTCACAATATTGAACTAGCTGAATCAACTCACATGCCTTAAGAAGGTGTAGTACAGACTAGGTTCTGTCTTAGATCCATACTAGGGTACCAGGTGTAGACTGGATTTTAGATCCATTTGAGGTGTCAGGATTAGGTTGAGTTCTAGATTTGTACTGGATAAGAAGACTATATTGGCTTCCAGGTTTAAAATGGGCTCTAAATTCACATTAGGTATTAGAACTGCACTAGGTAGGTTCAAGGTCTGCATTTAATGCTAGGTATAGGACATGAGTTGGCTTCCAGATCTACAATAGGTACCATGTCTATGTTAGGATTTTGGTCGATACTAGATGTCAGGCCTAAGTTGACTGATATTTATCTGGAGTACCAAGTCTAAGTTCCAAGTCCAACAGTTGTGCCAAGCCCAGATTAGATTCTAAAAGTAGGCGAAATTCTGGCAATATTTAGTTTGCTGTGGGAACAGAGGTTGCTCCCTTCTGTCCTTCTACCCCCCAACTCCATCTTCCATGGGCTGGTGCTAAGGAGAGTATCCCCCACCCCTCACTCCTAACCCATCCTGAGAGCAGAGGACTTCTGGCTGACAGCCGCACGCAACGTTCTCAAGCTGGTGGTGAAGTCGTGGGACCCCTACTCAGAAGAGAATGACCAGACAAAATCATCCCCAACTTTGTTGGAAAAGACCCTGCCAGGTAAGTCCCACGGGTCATCCATCCACTCATGCCTCCATCCATCGAGCTCTGAGTCAGCAGCCTCTGGGGACCCCGCCACATGCCAGGCTCTGCTAGGGCTACAGATTCAGCAGGAGACATACTTTTTGTCTTCTCTTTGGGAAGGCAGGATACCATAAGCAGAAAGTTGCAGGCGATCCAGAATCCCTTGTACCTGAGTACTGAGGAATACAAACAGTGTAGCAAATGTTTTTCTTTGGGGGCAGCACTCTCCACAAGACCCCTCCTCCCGCATCCGCAGACCTGAAATTCAAGGGGTCTTGCCGGCCAGGGACTCAGTAACAGAAACAAGTTTGAGATCAGAAGGCATAGGGAACAATTAGGTTCCAAGAAATCCTGTCTTGTACCTCAGCTTTCTCCTCCGTATGGGAGAATTTCCCTGCTTTCTTCTCCTGTTTGTGTGTATAAGGCAGAAGGTAGGCCCAAGGACCAGTCCTTCCTTCTGTGTCCTTCCTTCTCTAGAATCACCCCCAGGCTCTCCAGGGGGTAGGCAGAGTACAAAACCAGAACTCAAGCAGGTATCGTCGAAGCTGATTGAAGATGCGCTACAGGCCTGTGAGGGTTACCTCAGAAGTTTGGCCCATGAGGATATTGACAAGACCATAGAGTCTCCAGGGTACCTGACCCAGGCTGATTGGACTTTATTTCTCCAGCGCTACTACCAAGTGGTCCAGTAAGTGTGTGTTAGCACAGAAAATGGGGTGTAGGGACATGAAAAGCACAGGTGGACCCAAAGACCTTGGGTGGGGTGGTTTACCCATTCTGGGCCTGCATCAAGGATACTATTTAAAGAAGCTTTGGAAACAACACATTATATTCAAATTGGCCAATACACTGTTGCTTACAGAGAGAACTATGTGTGAGAAAGTGTAGCTACTAGAGAGGAGTGATCTTGCACAGGCAAAGTGGTGTGGGACTCCAGGGTATTTTCCTCTTTCTGCATTCATGTATTTGTTATCTTCAGGGAGAGATGGCCAGCAATACAAGTAGTTTGTGTGTCCCGGTAATTCTGTTGTTGTCCTGTTGCAGAAACCAGACAGGAATCACGCCATTAGGTGAGCTGAAAAACCTTTGTCCCAGATTCAGCCTGGAGCTGTACCTGAGTCTGCTGTACTCACTTTCCATGTCTCCAGGACACTAATACCTAATATAATGGTCCAAAAAAAGTCTCAAAAACAATATCCAAAAGCTGAAACTATGAGCAGTTGGTTGGGGCCCCATCTCTGGACAGCTGTTGAAAACGTCACTCTTGGGGCCGCTGGGGGGTACAGTGTATAGAGCACCGGCCCTAGAGTCAGGAGGACCTGAGTTCAAATCTGGCCTCAGACACATGATACTCACTAGTTGTGTGACCCCTGGCAAGTCACTTAACCCCGATTGCCTCTCAAAAAATGTCACTCTCTGTTCTACCATATGGCCTGGTGCTACCTATACATACATACATACACAATGCACGTATCACTTATATCCTTACCCCACTCATTTCTAATTTATCCTGCACATGACCACCACCAGGCTAATTATCATTAAGTCCTTTCATCATGCCTCCTAATGTTCAAGAACCTCTAGTAACTCCTAGTGGTCTGTAGGGTCAAGTCAAAACTCTTTGACTCAGCATTTAAGACCCTGTACAATCTGGCCCTACTCTCCCTCCCCAATCATATCTTCTTCTTCTCCCCTACATAAAACTCTCACTAGATGGGCCTTCTTACTGTCTTAAACTTGATGATGCAAGAGATAGTAAGTACCTATTATCTGTAAGGTGATGGGGTTACATATAAAAATGAAAGGGGACACACATTCTGCCCTTGGAGAGATTACAGTCTACTGGCTTCAGGCAGGAGAGAGAGTTACATAGGCATAGGGGTAGGGCTGAGACTGGATTTCACTGGTTTAGGAAACTGCCACTACCATTAAAGGTTGGCACCTTCTCAGTAACTTGCAGGCTAAGAGACTTGCCTAGAGCATTGAGTGGTGTAGGGACTTGCCCATCACTTTTGGAGTCCTTGGTCATGTTTATGCAGTTACTTTTGTTTGGAATGTCCTTCTTCTACCAACTGTATAAATACTGTGTATTCATCAAGGCCTATGGGGAGTCTCACCTCTCTGATGAAGCCTTCTTAGACTTCTTCTCAGGAACCATATGGAATATCTCTTTTGGATTAATCAAGTGCCATGATTGGGCAGTCAATTACATATGTGCCAGACACTGAGGAGTATGAAAAAAACATAATGATATTAACCCTTCCCTCAAAAAGCCTACCGTACAGGAGAAGAAGAGATGAGACAGATAAAGATAAAAATATAACTAGCAAGTACTCAGTAGTAAATAATGGCAAATTGAGTGCATAGGTAATAAATCCAGTGGAATCAGTACAGGGGAGAGAGAGAACTCTGTGAACTAATATGGACAGAGAAGCTTTTGTGGAAGAAATGGATCCTGAGCTGAACTTTGAAAGTATAGGGTTTGGGTGGGGAAGGATACAGGAAAGGAAGAAGAACTTTTGGGAACTGTATGATCCAAAGTGCAGAGGCAGGAAATAAGACAAAAAACCATTCTGGCAGAAGTTGATGCCATGGACAATGACTTGGTTTTGCCTCAGATTGTAGGGGGTCATGAATGCCCAAATGAGGAGTTTGAATTTATTCTGTAGGCGATAGGTTGGTGGTTGGTTGGTTGTTTTAGCAGAGGAATGACAATCAAAGTTATGCTTTAGGAAGCTTAATTCATTGGCATTGTGCAGGCTGGATTGGAGGTAAAGAACCTAGAGGCACTTGGCAATTTGGCTCTGAATTAGAATGATGGCCTTGGAGTTTTTGAATGAGTAAATAAAATGTCGAACCAATGCAAACAACTAGTAAACCATCAGTTTGTATGCTTTATTTAATCAGCAAATGAAAATTACTATGTAAGCCAACTTTTTTTCCTGAGCAACAGAAAATATACTTGTAGAGAGCCAGGTATCTTGTACAAGTGTTGTCGTTTGCTGACTTTGGGCTCCTGAAAATATCATCTCCTTTTGCTTTTCCATAGTCCAAAGACTGTGTTTCAAATAGTCTGTTTCCTTTTTAATCCTCAAATTTAAAAAGCTATTGTTATCTCTTGTTTTTATATCACCATCACTTTTGGCTATATTCCTGCCCTTCCCCTATCTAGTGAGCCATTCCCTGTCATACAGAATTAAAAAAGAACAAGGGGGAACACCAGTTCCACAAAAATAACTAAGACATCAGTGGAATCCGACAGTATATGTACTGTTCAATCAGCCAACAAGTATTTATTAAGCACCTACTCTGTGCCAGGCACTAGGCTAAGCACTGGGGATACAAAAAAAGGCAAAAGACAGTCCCTGCCCTCAAAGAGCTTACATTCTACTGGAGGAGACCATGTGCATATATAAGTTTTTACAGGGGGAAAAACTACATAAAAGACAAATATAAAGTGAAAATGTGATGGTAAAATACAAGTTAGGGAGAGTGGGCACTGGCAATTGGGGAAATCGGGAAAGGCTTAATGTAAGAGATGGTACTTCAGTTGAGTAGTGAAAGAAGTGAGGGATCTTAGGCAGAGGTAGAGAGGAAGGATCTAATGCCAGGCTTGGAGGATGGCCACTACAAAGGCGCAGAGCTAAGTGTAAAGAACAGAAAGAAGCCCAGAAAGAAGAACAGTTTGGTTAGACGATAATGTAAAGGAAGAGTATAATAGTTTGTCCACTGTTACAAAGAAAGGAGGAATTACATTTTTCCCTTCTCGGAGGCCAAGCCTGATCATTATAATTGTATAGCAGTCAGCTTCTTTTTGTTGTTGTTTTCATTTACATAGATCATAGAGCTGAGGGACCTTAGAATCTATCAATTTCAACCTCATTTTACAGATGAGGAAACTGAGGCCCAAGCTAGGTGATTTGCCCAGGGTCACACAGTTCTGAGGCAGGTTTTGAACACAGATCCTCTTTACTCCAAGTCTAGTGCCATATCCACGAAATCATGTTGCCTCTCACATTATTGTCTGTCTATATGTATGTATATATATGTGTGTGTGTGTATATATACATACATATACGTACACTTTTCCTGATACTGCTTATTTCCTTTTGTATCTGCTCACATGAGCTTCACCAGTGCTTGCTTCTCGAATTATTCATATTCATCTTTTCTTATCACACGGTAATATCCCATTCACATACTATGATTCCCTAGTTGATGGACATCTACTGTTTCCAGGTCTTTGCTACTTTAAAAAAAATGTAACTACACATATTTTAGAGTGTACAGGGCCTTTCCTCCCCTGCCTTGGCCCTCCTTGGGGTGTATCCATGGCAGTGGAGTCCCTGGGTGAAAGGGGGCAGATATCTTAGTCATTTTTTTATAGTATAATTTCAGATTGTTTTCCTAAATGGTTGAACCAGTTCACAGTTCTATCAACAGGGAATCGGTGTGTCTGTCTTTCCACAGCCCTTTCATCTTTTTTCATCTTTTCCCATATTTTTTCATCTTCGTCAATTTGCTGGCTACGAGTAAAACCTCAAATTGTCTTGATTTGCTTTTATCTTATTATTAGCGATTTGGAATGATCAAATGTATTTCAAAATGTATAAGCCTGCTTGAAGTCCTTTCATAAGTAGGCAAGGTACGGAGAGAAATTAACTTTCACGCTCAATGAATCAATAGACATATGTAAGTTGTATAGAGGAAAGAGCGCCCTGGAAGGCGAATAGGAGGTCTCTCATGAAGAAGAGGAGAGAGGAGAGAGAAAGATGGAGGAAGTGCCTAGTTCGTCACTGACTTCTGATAAACTATCATAGCTGTAGAGTTGAAAGTGACTTTAAGACTTGACATCTTCATTTTATATGAGGAAATGGAGGCTCAGAAAAGTGTAATGACTAGCTTTCCATTGCCAGGGAAGTAGCAGAAGCTTGTGACTCAGGCCGTGTGACCCAGCAGAGCCATTTTCCCCCTGAACCACCCCACCCCTTCTCAAGTTATTCTTTGTCCCAGGCAGTTGAGGGATCTCTGGAGAAATGGTGATCCCTTCTTTTAGGCGGCTTGATTAGAGTGTGCAGGCGTCGGAGCAGTCAACGAGCATTTATCGAGTGCCTGTTGTGTAACAGACACTGTGCCGGGCACCAGAGATACAAACATACAGTTGGGTGCTCCTGTATCCCGCTAGTGCGTAGGACATGTGCGAGTTATATACAAAATAAGTCCAGAAGCAGTCAAGGACCAGGACAAGATGAGAACTGAATCCCAAAAGGCTTCTTGGAGGACTCTAAGAGGCAGAGGGGAGGAAAGAGTTTACCCCAGGAGTGAGAGCTAGTCTAGGCCACGCCCTGGAGTGGAGCAGAGTGTCCTCTACAAGGCACAGAAAGTGAGTCATTTTGGCCAGAGCGTAACAAAGGGGGAAAATATGTAATTTACATGGAAGGACTTGAAGTGCCAAACAGAAGAGTCTGAGGCTTTTTATCCCTCTTCCCAGGTATATTGCGGTAGTGTCTCAGCTGTTCTCCTCCCCTCCAGTCTTTCTGACCCATCCTCCTACACATAGTGGCCCAGGTGACATTCCTGAAGTGCAGGTCTGAACATGGCACTTTCAGTGGCTCCCTATGACCTTTAGCACCAAATAAAATCTCTGGCATTTCAAGCCCTTCACAAGCTGCCTTCAACCTACCTTTCCAGGCTTATTATATGCCATTTGGTGCACACGCTCTGTGGTCCTGCCAGATGGGCTCTCTTGTTCTTCCTCATAATGGACGTTCTGTCTCCTCCTTGCGCTTTTGTGTAGGCTCTTCTTGCCCTTCTCCCACCCCAATGCCTGGAATATACTCCCTCTTCACCTCTGCCTCTTAAGACCCCCCCCCCAATTGCCTTCAGGTCAAATATCATCTCGTCTGAGAGACCTTTCCTGATTCTTCAAGCTACTAGCCCCGCCCCATTGAAATTACCTTGGATTTAACTTGTATCTCTTTTGTATCACCCTGTATGTGTACGTACTATAGAATGTGAGCTCCTTGAGCACAGAAATTATTTCACTTTTGTCATTGTATCCACAGTGCCTGGAACATTGTAGGTGCTTACTACTTACTGACGGATATAGAGAGTCACCAAAAGAGTAAAGGTCAGGAGGACCTGAGTTCAACTTCGGCCTCAGACACATAACATGCACTAGCTGACCCTGAGCAAGTCACTTAACCTCATTGCCTAGCCAAAAAAAAAGAAAAAGAATAAAGGTCAAATCTATGCTTTAGGGTTATCTGGCAGCTTTTCGGAGGATGGATGGGAGTGGGGAGAGATTGGAAGCAAGGACACTAATTAAAAGTCTATTGCACTGAGATATCCATTCATTGCTTAGCACAGTGCCTAGCGCATAGTAGATGCTTAATAAATGTTCCCTTCCTTTCCCTTGTACTGTCCCAGGTGAGAGGTGACTAGGGCTTGAATTAGGGTAGTAATCACAGGAGTAAAGAGAAGGGGATGGCTGCACAATATGTAATGGCATTGGAGTCTTCAAAACTTGGCAACTGTTTGGATTTGGGGAATGAGTGAAAGTGAAAAGTAGAGATGATTCCAAGTTTGTGAATGTGGGTGTTGGGAAAGATAGTGATACATACCCTCAAGAGAAACTGAGAAGTTTGGAGTAGGAGCAGGTGAAGGGAGAAAAGAGAATAAATCTATTTTGGACATACGGATTTTGAAATGCCTGTGGGTCATCTAAGTGAAGATGTTTAGTAGACAGCTGGCACTGTGGAACTGGAGTTCATCAGAGAGATTAGAGCTGGAAGTGTAGATCTCGGGATCATCCACATCAGGATAATGAAAGTTGGGGTAGCTGAATGAGATCACCAAGAGAGGGCACAGAGGAAGACTTGTCTGATGTAGGTGCTTTGTTGATCACTTAGCCTTAACTGTTTTGTTACGAGGAAGTGTTCATTGGGGAAGGGATTATGTATACTGGGAACTAACTATGATGTAAAAGATAATACCAAAAGGCCTGAATTTTTAAAAGGTAAATATTTATTGGAAGAAGAAAGAAAGGAAGGAAGAAAAGATATCTGGCCTGCTATAAATAAAACCTAGCTGAATAGTCCCCTAGGAAGGAACAAAGGTGGAACAAACAAGTAGTTTTCCATTGAGAGTTGCTAATAAGAATGACAGAACATTGTGGATTTTGCTTCCAGCAAATACGAGGGCCAAGGTGAATTTTTCAGGGACCTGCCAAGAATATTCTATGTTTGTGTTTCTGTCACTGCCAAGTAATAGTTATTTATGCACAAAATGTGGGTTAGTCCCTCTCCTAGAAGAGAAAAGAAAAGGGCTGGAGGAACACATCTCTAGACTCTTTAGTTAAAAGAGAGATGAGTTCTTTGAAAAGAGTAGAAGGGGTGCTTCAAGGAGAACACAAAAGAAAAAGAGAACACAAAAGAAAAATAATCTAATTTTTAATTTTTAAATTTTTTTTAAGGCAGTTGAGGTTAAGTGACTTGCCCAGGGTCACACAGCTAGTAAGTGTCAAGTATTTGGTCTGAGGCCAGATTTGAACTCGGGTCCTCCTGACTTCAGGGCCGATGCTCTATGTACTACACCACCTGGCTGCCCCCAAAAGAAAAATAATCTAAAGAGACAGTATACATAATACTAATCTGTGGGTTGCAGTTGGAGGAAGGAAGAATATGACAAAGAGAAGAAAGGGGTACAGGATCACTGAGCTTTGGAAATAAGTGAGACTTTTCTGTAGAAGGGGGGTAGCTGAACCCTCTCAGGAAGGAGAAGTCTTTCGTGCTCCAGGACATGATACTCTGGATGCCAGCTGGGCCAGAGGAGAAGAAGCATCCTGTTTTGTTCAAAAGATGCAGAGAAGGGGAGTGGTTCATGACTCCTCAATGAAGGCTCTCAAAGCAACTGTTTGTCCACCTGACATAAGTAATAGAGAGGTCTGCTGTGGATATCTAGGATGTGAAGGAGAGCTTTCATAGAATAACTAAGCCTGATGATTACTAATCTATCCTAGTGGTTTAGTGAGGACACATGATACTACCAGATGGAACCCAAGAAGCATTGCCAGATATTATGAAGTCTTGGGCAAGAAACTGAAACCTCCAGGGGGAAAGTGATGTTTTCATAACTATTGCTGATTGAAAGCACGAGCTCCGAAAGAGAAAGGCTGATCTGGGAAGTGAATGATAGATTAAGAGATTTCACATCCTAGCTAACAGCAGCAGGCCTGTCTCTTGTCAACATCAGGTTGACAACTAGCTGCCTTTAGACTAGGGCAGTGGAGAGACAGGGCATGCATGGGAACTGCCCTTCAAGACTTATTCTGCTTGGCCCCTTAGGGTAGAACTAGGAGCAATCAGTGCAAATTGTAGAGAGGTAGATTTCAAAACTATAAAATGAAAACTTCCTGACAGTTTAGAGCTGTCCAGTAGTGGGGGAAAGTGCCTTGAAATGTACTGGGTTTTCCTTCCTTGGATGCCTTCAAGCCTAGATTAACTGACCACTTGTTGGGAATGTTATAGAGAAGATTCAGGCATGGTTTAGACCATATAATAATTATAATAATATCATTATACAAAATAAAATAGCTAATATTTATATAGTCCTTAATATGTGCAAGGCACTGTGCTAAACACTTTACAGTTAATTATCCCATTTGATACTCACAGCAACCCTTTTGAGGTAGGTGTTATTTCACAGATGAGAAAACTGAGACAAACAGGGGTCATGTGACTTGCCCAGAGTCATACAGGCTCTGAAGTCCCTTCCGATTCAGCTTCTGTGTTTCTGTGAGTCAGATGGGTTGGATTCAAGTCTTAGCTGTGTGTGATCTTGGCAAAGATTTGTTGTTTCTTTGGTGTCAGTTTGTACATTTGCAACATGAGAGAGGATTTCTAAAGGTCTCCTCCAGCTTATATCATTCTGTGATGTTACAGTATATACTAATACTGATTGAGCATCTAATAAGAGTCTCCCTGGGTCAAATGAAAGAACTAAAATAAAACTGAGCAGAGGGGAGAGCTTTGGGAAGGAGGTAGGGACTTTTTTTGTGCTTTGGGGAACAAGTTCACCTTTGCACAGAAACCAGTTATTTGGTCAGTTTAGTAAGTTAAGTATTTGTCTACATCTCTAGAACATAATAATCTATAATGAGGTCTTAATTACTTGGAACAGACAATAATTGTAAAAGGAATGAGGAAAAGATGTATTAAGTATGGATTAGAGCACATGAAAAGCTGAATTGTAAATAATGAGCTGATATACATATATATATATATGTGTGTGTATATAATATATATATATATATATATATATATATACATATGCACTTTTGAATAGAGTATTAAAGTGGGGAAGAGGATGGAGAAGAAGTAAGAAATAGAGCTAGAATATCCTATTCAGACAAGAAAAGGTTTGACTTTTCCCATTAGTTTGGAGGTTTTTCTAGAGGAGACTGGAATTTTAGGAGCTCCTTTAAATGAATTGGTTGGGGGGATATATGATTTTAGGAGCTACTTGGTGGTCTCCAGGTGTGGGGGCATAGTGAGATATCTGGGAGTGAAAGGTCTTCCTAGATTCCTACAGGGGCATGCAGGCAGATGAAAGGACAAAGGGACTACTTTCTAGCTCCACTCTGAGCACCTCACCATTTCCCACAGTGAGGGGGCTGAGCTAAAGAAGGTTGACTCTCAGATCCAGCGTTGTGAAGACATCCTTCAGCAGCTCCGGGCAGTGGTGCCTCAACTTGACATGGAAGGAGACAGAAATATCTGGATCGTGAAGCCTGGAGCCAAGTCTAGAGGTCGAGGTAAGGAAAAATGAGAAGGGGGGTTGAGAGAGAGGTGGGAGGGTAGAAGGGTATTGGTCTGCAGGATTAGGTAGAGAGAGAAAGACCCCATGCCATTCTCTGAGCATAATCTCAGAGTCAGTGATACAGATGAGTAAAGAAATATCCTTGAATTCTTGATTCACATAAAGAAATAAACATCAGGATGGCAGTTGCATTTAATTTTTATAACAGCCACAGTTATAGATATGTTCCCAATTCACTCCTATCATCCCCCAGTTTCCAGTTGGTAGAACCTCAAAGAATCATATAGTCTTTTCACTGGAAGAGGTGAGCAGCCTCAGTGTAATGTATTAGAAGCTACACAAGGCTTGAAGTTAGGCCCCCAGCTCTTGGGCTTACCATACTATCTGTGTGACCTTAGGCAAATCACTTCTCTGGGTCTGTCTCTGTAAAATAAGGAAGATGGCCTAGCTGAACTGTTACTGATATAACAGTTTATCAGCTCCAGTGTTCTTAGACAAGTCACTGGTCTTCATCTTTATCCATAAATTGGGAATAATCATATTTGCATTACTTACCTCACAGGCTTATTATGAGGAAAGCATTTTGGAATTTTGTAAAGTACTTAGCAAATGTGAACTATTATGCCTCTGTTTCTACAGATCTAAATCTGTGGTGCCATCTTTGCTTATTGGGTGGTACAAAAAGGGCATGAGACAAGAGAAGGATCAGCATGCACTGAGAACAGCACTTGTGACAGTTGAGTTAGCTCAGTGTGTAAAATACATATTTGGCAAACAAGGGGTGACTAAATTTCAAATGTACCAGCAAGGGTGCATTCAGAAATACCTCATCACCTTCAAAGTGTAATCACTTGGAGTGGCAGCAATACTTAATCTGTTGTTTGAGATGATGAAGTGGTACTGGAGGTAACAGTTGCACCTCGTCACATTTAAGTGCATCCATTCAGGTGGATTTTTATCCAAGAATTAGGCTCAGCTGCCCTCCTTTTCTGAGGGAGGGGAGGCTGGGTGTGCACAACACTGCATAGTATCAAACTTGATTGATGTACAGATTGCTTTTGGAGAAATGCTTTCCTCCTGCCTCTCTTATTCTTTGTTTTTTTCTTTAAAAAGGGATAGCATTCCGAATGAAGAAGGGATAGATTGGGAAAATAAAATGGCAGAACCCCCCCCAAAAATCAATAAAAATTAGGCTCATATTTTGTTGAAGCAAAAAACTAAAAACAAAGTGCCACCTAATTGGGGACTGACTGAACAAAGTGTGGTATGAGTGTAATGGAATCTTATTGCTCTGTAAGGAATTAGAAATATGAAGAATTCAAAGAAACATGAGAGATTTGTATGAACTAATACAGGGCAAAGACAGAACCAAGAGAAACAATGTACCCAATGGATACAAAAATGTAAAACAACACTAAAATGCTCCTACACTAAGTTTAATTGCAAAGAACACACACCTCTTTTTGAGGTGCAGAACAACAGGTACAAAATGTTGCGTGTGCTATCATACACAGTCACTTTGTAGATTGGGTTTTGTTCATATTTTATTCATTTCACAGTAAAATTTAATGGGGCTAGAATATACTCTGGGAAATTAACCACAAAAATTAATTGAAAAAATATTAGGCTCATTACCTTATAGCTAGGGCAGCTGTGTGATGCAGTGGCTAGAGCGCTGGGCCTCGAGTCAGGAAGACCTGAGTTCAAAATCCAGCCTCAGATACTTACTAACCATGTGACCCTGGGCAAGTAATTTAACCCTATTTGCTTCAGTTCCTCATCTATAAAATGAGCTGGAGAAGGAAATGGCAAACCACTTCTGTATCTTTGCCCTCAAAAAAACACCAAATGAGGTCACAAAGAGTCAGACACAACGGAAATGACTGAATAACAAAAACCTGATAGCCATAGACACCTCAGAGGAGTTAGTGCCCTTTAGGCAAGGTCCTATACTACTTTCTGCTGTAGACCTCTGAGATTCCTAGGGTCTGAGTTCTGTTCCTTCCTATATCCTCTCTCATTCAGGCATTATGTGCATGGACCACCTGGGAGAGATGTTAAAGCTGGTGGACTGTGACCCCATGATTGTAAAAGATGGCAAGTGGGTGGTACAGAAGTATATTGAGCGACCCCTGCTCATCTTTGGCACCAAGTTCGACTTGAGGCAGTGGTTCCTAGTGACTGACTGGAACCCACTAACTGTCTGGTTCTACCGGGACAGTTATATCCGCTTTTCCACCCAGCCCTTTTCCCTGAGGAACCTGGACAGGTAAACTGGGTGACGGTAGAGAAGCTTAGGCCTAAGGAGATAACAATGTCCTTCTGCCTCCCCTTGACCACTTGTTTCACCTCCTAGGTTTGGCAGAAAAGGGGGGAAAGAGTAGGGTGGCTGGGCAATTTAAACTGTGAGATCAATGAAGGGACTTCTTTCCAGGGTTAGAGTAAGTGGAGAGGTGATATGACATAGCAGACAGAATTCACAACTTGTTTTCAGAGGGAACCTTGGTCCCTATTCTGACTCAAACATTTACTAGTTGTGTGACTCTAGGCAAGTCATGTAATCTCTCACCCTCAGTTTTCTCATTCATAAAATGGGGATATTACTCATACTACCTACCTCACAGGGCTGTTGTGAAGAACTCCTTTGTAAACGTTGAGTGTAAATGTGAATTATTTTTACTAAGGGCTAAGGTAGCAATGACCTGGAGTCTAATGTAGTTATCAGTTTAGAACTGCAAAATATTAGAACCATGGAGAATTTGGAGATCAACTAGTCCAATAGCTTCATTTTGCAGAAGAGGAGATTGAAGTCAAGTAATTTGCCCAAGTTTGCATGACTAAGTTTGCACTGGAAGGTCTTCCACAGGTTTCCTATCTTCATTCTAGCATTGTATCCTTTTTAGGAAATTGTCCAGGTTTTGCACCAAATCCTTGAGTTTAGGTTGGCACCAGATCCCTTTAGAGATACTCTTCCAAGATGATTGCCTCTGTAAGCAACAGTTTGCCCTGGACTGGCACCTAGAAAGCTGAACCTGAGAAGGGGTTTTGACATACTGACATTTTGGTCTAAAGCATCAAAACATTGGAATAGCCTGAGATTTACCCAGAGGTGAATTTGAGTTCTGAGGGGGAGAGATGACTCAGGGCTGGTCACTATGGCAATTCTAGGCAGAAGCAACCAGAACCTATAGAAACAGGTCAGAATTGGGCTCTGTTGTCTATCTTCTCCTCCTCCCCCACCACAGAGATGGTAGGGAAAGGGCCTTAGCTTCTCCTCCTTCTCATTTAGTTCTGTGCATCTTTGCAACAACTCAATCCAGAAGCACTTCGAGAATTCTAACACTCGTCACCCCATGCTGCCCCCGGACAACATGTGGTGCAGCCAGAAGTTCCAGGCTCACCTGCAGGAGGTAGGGGCACCTGAAGCTTGGGCAGATGTCATGGTTCCAGGCATGAAGGCTGCTGTCATCCATGTACTGCAGACTTCTCAGGACACTGTGCAATCCCGCAAAGGCAGCTTTGAGCTATATGGGGCTGACTTCATATTTGGGGAAGACTTCCATCCCTGGCTGATAGAAATCAATGCCAGTCCAACTATGGCACCTTCCACGGCTGTTACCACCCGACTATGTGCTGGGGTGCTGGCTGATACATTGCGTGTAGTCATAGACCGTCGACAAGACCGAAACTGTGACACTGGTGCTTTTGAGCTTATTTATAAGCAGGTGAGATGCTGGGGGTCTTGAGGCCATCTACCCTTCCCTTCCTTGGGTCTCCTGAGGGGAAAATATCATCTGAACTGTGGTCCCTTCTTTTAAAAGGAACCTTTCAAATCTCTGATCCCCTAGTCAACCTCTTGTGTGCAAGACATGGTCCTAGGCACAAGGGGGAGGATATGGAGTGAGGATACAGGAAAGTATGATCATTTCTGCCCTCTAATGATTAGTTGAGGAAATGAGATATGCACTCCTAAAAAAAAAAATTAAAAGGGAGTCCCTGATAGTTGTTAAAAGATGAGCAAAGATATTAACACTAGAAGGACCAGGTGTATCAACTGATGCAAAAAAAATTTTTTTAATAATTTTACTATTTATCTGTACAAGACATTTAAAATACAATTATAGGTAAATATTACTTCACTTTGAAATAAAATTTTTCATCCTATTTCTAATTTCTTTGCCTTATGGGGAAAAAAATGCATTGATATAGCTCAGTCTTTCTAGATATTAGATTCTAGTCCTTCATCAAAGGCTTTTATAGTGCAATGGAAGAAAAGATCACTTTGGGCTATATTGGGCACAAAAGTCCTCAGAGATGAAAAAACAGGTCTGAACTGGTTTTAGAGGAGGGGTATGACTTTAGGGAGCGGAGGAGGGAGGAAAACACTCTCAGTAAGGAGAATGTATGGTACTGAGGCCCTAAAAGCACAAGATGTTCAGGGACCAGTAAGTAGACCTGAAGCCTGTCTTATCTGTTTCTAAACCATTTGGCCTCCAGCAGCTGGTTGACTCCTAGGTCCCTAGGCACAACTCTCATTCCTTTGGATAGCAAATTCCAGAGAATAGGATCCCCTTCCTCTAACAAGGCTATACCTGTTTTTCTCTCCCATTTTCCATCCTGATGAGACCTAGAGTCCCACAAATTACCTTTTAATCTCCCCAGGAAAGGATTTCATTAACTAGCTGCCTCATGGCTGTTTCTGCATTGCAGGGAGAGAAGTAGAGGAGGTTTCATAGTGCTTGAACTGTCTATCCCACTAACACTTTTGCCCTCTAGGCAGCTGTGGAGGTACCCCATTATGTGGGGATCCGACTAATGGTTGAAGGCTCCCCTGTGAAGAAGCCTCTGACTGTCCGGAGCCAAAGAGCGCCATCCCGTCTCCTGGCATGTCGAAACCTTAGGGAGGCTAAGGAAACTAAAGAGGCTGTGCCTAAGGAGGCTAAAGAGTCCATACCTGAGGAGGCTAAAGAGTCCATGCCTGAGGAGGCAAAAGAGGCTGTGCTTAGGGAGGCTAAGGATTCTGTACTTGAGGAGATTGATTCCATGCCTGTTGCTCTCAAGTCATCAGGGCATTCCCACCATCATGGGAAAGCTTTAGGAGGCAGGAAGAACCTGGGACCCATTGAGAAAATGGACTCCATAAGCATGGGAAAGAAGAGAGTCAACACCAAACAATCCACAGGAACTGTCCAGGCCAGCTTCCAGAAATGGAGCATCCACAATCCCAAGATAACCCACCTGTTCAGTGCATCACCAGCACCCATTGTCAGTCAGGGAAGGCAGCTTCACCCTGTGAACAAACCTCAGCAGCTTCTGAAGAATTCTGTGTCTCTAGGTAGGGCAACATTTATGCTTAGGGCCCATAGCTGACTTCCTCTTGCTCTTTGGCCCCTCCCCATTCCCTGTGGTCTGTGACCAATGTGGCTAGAGGTTGGGGTCTCACAGCAGATGCTTGGCAGTGCGAGAAGAAATCCCATGGGTATAATGTGTGACTGTAATGTAATGAGACTGGTTTGTAAACAAAGGCAGGAGAATGTAAAAAGCATAGGACTTGGAGACCAATGACCTAGGTGTAAGTCCTGGTTCTGTGACTGACCTGCAGTCAGACCCTGGGCAGGTCTCAGATCCTCTTTGGACCTGTTTCCTGACTGGTAAAATGGGAATAGAATGCGTCTTGCCCATCTCAGAGGGTTGTGGTGAAGTTCCAATAAGATGATGCCTGTAAAGCCCTGTGTGAATTATTGACAAGCATACCAGGACATAGACCTTCGAAAGGAGTTTCCTATCTCTCACTTGGGTGAAATCACTTTGGGAGGTTACACATAATATTCTAACAAGGCAGCCATTACTTAAATTATTTTGGGAACTCTTCTTTGGAAATTGCCTTCAGAGCCAGGTTATGAGCCACGTAAGAAAACCAGTCTCTTTACTTTATAGTCACACCTCATTTTTAATCAAAAATGGATGGTATTACCTAGCTTGATCACCCACCTTCTTCACCAGACTTGGCTCCAAAAGGCTCTTGGCTGTTTCCAGAAATCAAACCCTTCCTCAAAGGATGAAGATTTAGCACCTTTGAGGATATTCAAAAGAATCTACCACAGGCCCTGAATGCAATTTCCAAAGAGGAGTTCCCACAGTGTGTTGAGTAATGGCGTCTCCTTGGAATAAGTGTATAGCCTCCTAAGTGACTACTTTGAAGGGAACAACATTCATTTGGATGCATAAGTTCTGGTATGTTTGTAGCCCCTGCCCTCCAGAGGGAGAGCAAACACTAATACACAAGATAGTATATTATTAATACCAAATGAGTAGTAACAGACAAAAGTACAGGAGTCACTCCCTCAGGTTCTTTGCAGGGAACTAGCCTGGTATATTTATAGACTTACTGGATGTTAAGTTAGAAGGGACTTTAAATTTCATGTCACCTAGTCCAAGCCCTTCATTTTACAGATGAGGAAACTAAGGCCCAGAATGAGGATGTGATTTGCCTAAGGTCACACTGTTTCTTGGGTTTAGGTCACCCTCAGGGCTCCATAGTGGGTCTCAGAAGCATGAGTGCATCTGTTACTACACTCTAGGATGGTTTGGAGGGAGAGAACTTATCAGTCCACACACAATCAGTATGTTTCCAAACAAATCCTACTAGAGGAAGTATGCATGCTTGGGGCTCTCCTATGGGGCTTCCTCTGCCTTCTCACAACTTACCATGTCTAAGCTGAGGCCTCCAGAGGACACTAGTCCATCTGTGAAAACAGAATTGGAACCAGTGCTTCTAATTCTCCTGCTTCTCCTTCCTCTTCCACAGAGCCAGAGGGATTACCCTGCTTCCTTAGTAAGCCTGTGCTGCCCAATTCCCGCGTGTTCAAACCTCGTACCTTCCTTCTCAAATTGCAGCTCCCAAAAACACCCATTCCCTGCAAGAACTTCAGTGCCACGGGCAGGGCCTTGCTTTTGTTCCCTGCTCATAAAGAGCCTGTTCCCAGTTGTAGGAAGCAGGCCAAGGTGGGCCCCAAACCCTGAGGGGCCTGGGAGGGGGCTGATTTGTGCTGAGAACTGGGAGTGTTTGGGGAGGGAGGAGGGAGGGAAAAGGGTTTCCCATGGTCTAGGCTAAGCCAGTGGGAGCTGACCCCTGCTTGGACCAAGCCCCTTGGCTCCAGCAAGGTATCCCCAGTTTAGAGCCTTGGCTGTGATCAAGCTCAAAGGAGTATAAGAGGCAAGTTATATATGTGCTTTGGTTTCACCCCAAAGCTGGATTCAAAGAAGTGGGAGGGAGGGAGGGAGACTACCCCCTACTAACTCCTCATCCTTTCCCCTGAGAAATTCCCATCAGCTTTTTCCCCATAGCCTCAGAAGGCAGTTTTAGATCACTCAGAACTCCATCCACCCAAATCACAGAAAAAGGAAATGCTTCTGGGCCCCATTTGCTCGAAGATGAAATGCAGCTTCCTGCCACCTTTAGCAACTCAAAGCCCAGGCTTGATAACTGACCATATTTTGCTGAAGGCTCTTAGAAAGAATGCCCAAGTTCATGGCTCCCACTGGCACCTGGCTTCCAACCTTCACCAGTCTGGAAGGACCAGGGGAGAACTCCAGGAATTAGAGACCATAAAATTGGGACATTCCTGGCCACACTTCACATTTCCCCCCACAAAACTTAAGTCCTGGCCAAAGAAATTTTCCTGGGCCAAAAATAAATGCAATTGAGATACATACTGCTTTTGTCAGGTTTACTGCTGGGGCAATTAGGGCAGGGGTGGGACACATTGCCAGGCTGGCCGAAAAGTAGAGGGGTGGGGGAAAAGCTAATCATAGATCGTGATAATGGAACACTTCTGTGGGAGGTATTAAGCCCAGGAAGCAGAAGGGGGGGGAACACAGTCACTGTGTAACAGAGACAGAAACAGGGGATAGGGATAGCTTGTAATGGGCAAGGAGAAATTCAAGCTGAAAATTTCCTGAGGTGGGCCCTAACTCCAGAGAATAAATGAGAAGTCACCTTCCTCTAGAAAAAGGGGGTCACCAAACTACTACTCAGTAGAAAGTCAGTTTGTCTTCACTTTGGCAGGGATCCATGTCCAGGGGAAGAATCTTCCCAACTTCCTCTTTTATGCCAAAAAGGCCAGGATAGAGGAGGGACTGGACACATGCTCCCCAGACAAGAAAGCAGGCTGTTTTCCCCAGCCCTCAGCACTTGGACCTTCCCCAAAGGCAGTAAACATCTGTCTCATTGAGCCATCTTGAATGTTGTCTGTGCTATTTCTTCCTGGGCTGCTCGGACATTTGGAGCCCTAAATTCCATAGGGTTTGTGAGAAGAAAGGGGGCAAAGGCGCTATGAGCACTCTGGGGGCCACTGAGGTTTCAGGGAGAAGGATTTGATGCAGGTGGAGATGGAGGGGTAGAAGGGCCGTCTCTTTTGCAGTTATTTGGAGGCGGTACAGGAGCAGTTCACTCAGGACCTACAGGGTAGAAAAGAAGACTAAGGACATGGATCTAACAGTTAAGAAAACCCAAACAGCTGCTCTCACTTAAAGTGAAGGCTCAGAATGGGATAATGTGAATCTGAGCTCTCTCTACCCCAAGTTCAAAGGCCTTTTTATCAACACATAATCAGAATATTAGAGCTGAAAGGCAATTTTAAAATCTAGTCCAAATCCTTCATTTTAGATGAGTCAAAGAACTTCTTTCACGTATTCAAAGTCAACTAATAAGCTAGTGTTAAAGCCAGGACTACAGCCCAGGTCTCTCACCACCCGCTCAGGTCAGCCTTCTGTTGCATCACTAGTGACAAAAGGTATTACCCTGCTACTGGGCCCTGCACAAAAATAATTCACCCAGGTGGACAGGCAAAGAAAACCCAGGTACCTGTGTCTGAGGCACTGTGGTCTCCACTGGCAACAGGAAGTTTTCGCCTAGGACACTGCCAACTCGGGCAGAGTACACGTGATCCCCAAGCACAGGACATAGCTGAAGCATCATGTGCACCAGAAGTTGGCTAGGAAATGCTAGGAACAAGAAGAACAGTCACACCAAGAACTCCCTAACTGCCTTCCTGAGCCAGGGTTTAGCCGAGGTCCTGCTTTACCTTCTTGATGACTCTTCCATCTCCCCAGTCAGACACTGAGTTGCTAGGAAGATCCCAAGTACTAGCTATCTGTGCTAAGCCCACCTCAGCTCTTGCCTCCTTGAAACAAAGTTTCAGAATCCCTGATGGGTGGCCTTGACTCCTACCTGTAAGTGGCTGGAGCTTTACCAGAGCACAGCCAGATGTGGAGTCCTGAACAAAAAAGTGGGTCAGGGTTTCCTTGACACCCTCCTTTAAGGTCTGTCGAGACGGGGCCTTCACTGGGACTACCTGTGACCAGTCCCCCAGAAAAGAAAAACTACTTAAAAAAAACCCAAAACACTTCTGTGTCCTGACAATCCCACCCCACAATGTTGTAAGAATAAAGCCACAGGGGTGCCAGATGCTTTCAGTTGATTCCTAACCCAAACCATGGCTCCTGATTAGTAAGACCAATAAAAGCTCACACTTTTCTCACAATATCTCACCAAACCTTTTAACCTTTTTTTTTTTTGGCTAGGAAATGGGGTTGACTTGCCCAGGGTCACACAGCTAGTGTCAAGTTTCTGAGGCCAGATTTGAACTCAGGTCTTCCTGACTCCAAGGCCAGTGTTCTATCCACTGTGCCACCTAGCTGCCCCCCTCACCAAACGTTCTTTACCAAATTTATGTGAATTCATCTTCTCCTTTTTCCCATGGAGCAAGAAATTAGTGTTAACACTTCACTTACCAGATCTATTCCTCTAACCTGATCCAGCTTCAGGGCAACTTGAATTTTACCTTTGGAAGTAGCTGGGATCCCAACAGTTACAGCCCTGAGGGGAAAGCAGAGAAAGGAGAGGTCACAGGGCAGCCATCCTGGGGCAGTTATCATTGAAAGGGTGACCCATGGAATCACACTAGAAGCTAGCAGCTGCCTCTCACCAATAGGTCACTGTGGGTTTCTGAGCTCTTCGAGAGTGGATGAAGAAATTCTGGAAGGTTTTTGTTATCTGGGGACAGCTGGAGAGGAGGACAAGTCCTGAGCTCTCCCTAGTGGAGTGGGAGAAAAAAAAAGGTCATATTACACTTGTCATCATTCATGTATCTACAGTACTCCAGGATTTATAATACCCTTTTCTCACAACCACCCACTGAAGTAGGTAGTATTATCATTACCAGTCTACAGTGATGAACCTGATAGCAGGATCACACAGTACATGCCAAAGCCAAGATTTGAACCCAATCCCTTGACTGAAAGTCCAGTGATCTTTCCACGACAGAACTCAAAATGGATCTCAGGGTTCATTTTACAAATGAAGAGAGTGAAGCCAGCTGTCAGCTGCCCAAGGCTACACAAATAGTTAAGTGGCAGAATGAGGATTAGAACCTAGGTTCTAAAAGTCATTGTAGGACTTTTTCCTACCATCCTAAATTAATCTCCACCCCTTGCAGGGAAGTCTACCATCCCAAATCTTGCTGGAAAGACTTAACTCTCCCGACTTACCGTTTTGAGCAAATTCAGTTCTCACCTCAGCTCAACCTGACCTGCATTATCAGTAACTTACCTTCCTGGAGCTCGGACAACATGGAGCTCCTGGCTGAGCCCTAGGTGCTGGCCTATTTCTGGAAGGACTGAGAGCAGTGTAAGTTCTTCTGGTTTTCCTGGAGACACAAGGAGAAAAGGAATGAAGCTTTCTAGATCCTAAATTCCTTAACCTACCTTCTCCCCATTTCCATTACTGCCTTAATCCTAATTCCTATTCCCTCCCAATATTCTTCTGACCCATACCACTCCCTCCCCTAGCCATACCTGTCACTGCTAGTCCCGGTGGTTTGTTCAGGGCCACCAGAGGTCCTAAAACACAAAGTCATCACATTTTCCCCTAGAAATGAAGATGGGATTGCAAAACAACCTGAACAGGTAATGATACAAGAAATGGCTAAATAAACCATTCTGTATTTATGTAATGGAATACTATAATGAAGAGGAATAAATAAGAGAAATACAAAGAAATCTGGGAAGAGAACTTCATGAAATAATGCAAAACAAAAAGCAGAACCAGTATTATGAAGTACACACTAACTAGGACCATATAAGAGAAAAATCAAGAAAATGAACGGGGAAAGAATTGTGATGAGGACTGTGAAAACCCGAAACACTACCAATAATACTTCACGTGTTGAAGATAGTTTATTTAAATGTAAAGACTTACCAAACAAGTTTAGTTGGCTGCACTGACAATGTTAAGTTTTTAATACAACATTTAAACGAAAATGAGCATGGAGCTGGCTCTAGTCCCCTTCCTGTTCCCCAAGAGGCATGGTGAAAGCACTATCCTAGAATCAGGTTTATTGATCCCCCCTCACCATTGTGGTATAGCACAGCTGTCTTCATCATCTCAGCCAACTCTTCGTGGTTTAGCTTCTCTGGCTGCAGCATCCCAGGAAAGAGTACCTTCCTCTTCCCGGACTCCTTAAGGTACATCTGGTACCTATAATGGTGGGAAAAGAAATGAACAGAAAAGGGTGTTTACTTGTAAATTTGATGTCACATACAGTTGTGAAAAGCATTGGTCTCTGAGTCAGGAGGCTTGAGTAAGTCCCAGTTCTGACACTTTGTTACCCTGGGCAAGTCATTTAACTGCTTTGGGTCTCAGTTTTCTTATCTGTAAAATGTGGAAAATAATACTCTATCTACAGTTGCTGAGGTAAACACTTTGTAAACTTTAAGTGTCAAATAAGTGTGACATATTTAAAGATCTGTAATTTTCTAGGTGTGGAAGCTCTCTCTACCAATATATGTCATAAACCTTCTGAACCTTAGTTGATGGTTTCAAGAATTATGGCCAA